AGTTTGAAGTTCCTAGCCTTAAAGTTCTTTATGTTATTGATCGGAAAACCGTTTTTGCTTACAAGGTAAATGTGACCTTGACCTTTGGACCCCTTGACCCCAAAATCAATAGGGGTCATCTACTGATCATGACCAATCACCATACCAAGTTTGAAGTTCCTAGGCCTTAAGGTTCTTTAGTTATTGATCGGAAACCGTTTTTGCTTACAAACGGTCAATGTGACCTTGACCTTTGACCCCTTGACCCCAAAATCAATAGGGGTCATCTACTGGTCATGACCAATCACCATACCAAGTTTGAAGTTCCTAGGCCTAAGGGTTCTTTAGTTATCACTCGGAAACCATTTGGTCTACGGACCGACGGACCGACAGACCGACGGACCGACAAGTGCAAAGCAATATACCCCCTTTTCTTCGAAATGGGGGCATAATTATAATACTAAGTGATTGATATTTTATATGGAAGTCAAAATCTTAATTTATTTACTTTTACAACTTTTATGACAAATAATTCAACTTTAGCGGCATTTTCGTACAGTACCAATCATTGAAATTGGTTTTAACATATTAAAACCAATGTTTCCAGGTTCCAAAAAAGTAGAAATGTATTTGTTTCTGAAGCATAATGTACCTTTAAGTTTTTGCATGAAGACAACAACAACAATCATAATATGAGCCGCGTCATGACAAAACCAATGTAATGCGTTTGCGACCAGCATGGATCCAGACCAGATCTGATCAGGATCCATGCTGTTCGCTATCAGTTTCACTATGTGTAATAGGGTCTGTAAGCCCTGATCAGACTGCGCGGATGCGCAGGCTGGTCTGGATCCATGTTGGTCGCAAACCCATTATGTTGGTTTTGTCATGACGCGGCTCATATCTTTTTTCTTGAAACAGACAAGCTTACAAAAATCAGGTGGGTTTTCAACAGCTATCACAATTGTTTACATCAAAGCCTAAATTTTCACCCTTTTTAAAATATAATAAGGTTTAAAGCATTGAATTAACACTTTTTTCCCTAATTTGTATAACTATCATTCAAAAATATTGAAGAATTTTTTTTTATAAAAGTTGTTCAGTGACATGTTTTCTTATTCAACCAACCTTTTAACTGGGAAATTAATGTAACAACACAGAAAAATCTACTTCCACAAAGTTTCCTCACTCTTAATAAACACTACCCTGTGAACATAATTTATTTTACATGTTAATGAATTGTTTTTTTTAAAAATCCTACAAAAAAATGAATTACAGAAAATCTAACTGATGAATTTCTATCAATAATTAAGCATGACACATCGTTATTAACCCTGTTACATATAATACATACATGTATTAAAATTTAAAAAAACAACACATGACACGAAATAACATGCATTTTCAATACATATATATAAACATATATAAAACAATAAATGAAATAGAAATATTGATGAAATATTTAATGTAATTAAGAAACTTTTAATATGAGTTACATGGTAAAAACTACATAAATTGTGAATAATGTTCACTTTTGTGTTCCTTGTTAAAGTGCTAAGTTCTTACATAACCTTCAAATTCTTTGAATATCAAAACAATATGAGCTGCGCCATGACAAAACCAACATAGTGCGTTTGTGAACTTCATGGATCCTGATCACACTGTGCGGATGTGCAGGCTGGTCTGGATCCATGCTGGTCGCAAACTCACTATGTTGGTTGTGTCATGATGCAGCTCAGTTATATTTTTTTACTGGGTTTGATCTCTCACTAAAACTGTAAATTTATGTCATATGGTGACGTTCCAGCTTTACTGGTGAACGAAGACCTCAGGTGCTTCTCTGTACATTATTTCAGGCACCTGAGTAGAACCATCAACATTTAGTAAGCTAGCTCAGGATTACTTCCTCACATGAAAGAATCTAAAGTCCCTGGTGGGATTCAAACCTACAGCTGTGAGGAGTTTGAAGTCAACGACATGAACCACTTGGCCACAGATGCCAAATTAAGCAATCAGTTTCATCACAAATGTGTATCCATTTATTTGAATTAATTATTAATGTTTTTTCTTTCCATATTAAGAAAAAAATACATATTTCTTTTCAAAAAGTCTAAATTTAAATAAAGTTAAGATCTTTTTTTTACAGAATAAATCTACAGATAACATATACATTTAAATCATAATTATTTATATAACATGAAATAATAATTACACTAATAGGATGATATCATAATAGGATGATGTCATAATTGAATGATGTCATAATTGAATGATGTCATAATAGGATGATGTCATAATTGAATGATGTCATACATGATTGTGTTTTTAAAGTGATCAGATCACAAGGGGAATTATTGTAATATAAATTGCCATTATCATTTACAATGTATACAACAACTATTTAAGTACATTTAAACTATAAACTATTTGTTTTAAACAAATAGAAAACTAGTGAGGCCATTTTTCTGTAATACTGACATGAACACATGTTTAATAATATTGTTACCTTTGTCATACAAAAGTTTTTATGCGACTGTTATAGCTTTTACTAAACCTTTCATATCCCCTACCCTTGCCCCCCATTCATTTGCTGTAGCTACAGATTCTGGTGGGAAAATCTCATCTCCCCCCACCCCCCCGTGCATTAGTAGAGACTTTTCAAGAGAATCTCAGATGCCCCCCTGTGCATAAGTAAAGACTTTCGAAGGACAATCTCCAGATGCCCCCCCTGTGCCTTAGTAAAGACTTCAAGGGAGAATTTCAGATCCCCCTGGCATAAGTAAGACTTAAAGGAGAATCTCAGATGCCCCCCCCCTGTGCAAAAGTAAGAACTTCAAGGAGAATCTCAGATGCCCACCCCCCTGTGCAAAGTAAAGACTTCAAGGAGAATCTCAGATGCCTTCAGCCCCCCTGTGCATTTAAGTAAAGGACTTAAGGAAGAATCTCAGATGCCCACCCCCCTGTGCATGAAGTAAAGACTTCAAGGAATCTCAGATGCCCCCCCCCCTGTGCAAAAGTAAAGACTTCAAGGAGAAATCTCAGATGCCCACCCCCCTGTGCATTTTAAGTAAAGACTTCAAGGAGAATCTCAATGCCCACCCCCCTGTGCAAAAGTTAAAGACTTCAAGCGAGAATCTCAGATGCCCACCCCCTGTGCATTAGTAAAGACTTCAAGGAGAATCTCAGATGCCCACCCCCCTGTGCATAAGTAAAGACTTCAAGGAGAATCTCAGATGCCCACCCCCCTGCTTTGCAAAAGTAAAGACTTCAAGGAGAATCTCAGATGCCCACCCCCTGCTGCATAAGTAAAGACTTCAAGGAGAATCTCAGATGCCCACCCCCCCCTTGCAAAAGTAAAAGACTTCAAGGAGAATTCTCAGATGCCCCCCGATGCATTAGTGAAGACTTCAAGGAGAATTTAAGTTAAGACCTAGTGGAAAATCTTAGATGCCCCCTGTGCATAAGTAAAGACCTAGTGGAAAATCTTAGATGCCCCCCTGTGCATTAGTAAAGTAAAGACCTAGTGGAAAATCTCAGATGCCCGCCTTTGCATTAGTAAAGATCTGGTAGAAATTCTCAGATGCCCCCCTGTGCATTAGTAAAGACATAAAGACAAATCTCAGATGCCCACCTATGTATTAGTAAAAACCTGGTGGAAATCTAAGAAATGCAAATGTATCAGGTGTCAAGGAATTGCCATGTTTCAACAAGTGCTTAGAGGTTTAAATTATATAAGAAAAAAAAAACAATGACTGATTGACATACAACGATTTACAACAACACAACAGTTAATGGTAATTATCCAAACAATGATTTGCTGATACATAAAATTTCTCTAACTTTACAACAAGTATCTATAAGTCAAAATATTTAACATGATTAGGTCTAATGATATTATACAGTAATGGTGATATTTGCAGTAGTTAACAATTATGACCTACAGATAGATGGAGTATGTTTACAGCAGAGAAGAAAAAAAATAAAGAAACAAAATAATTACACATATAATAATTCACTAGATCTGACTTGATTTTGCTGGGGTTTCAAATAAACAAAATCACTTTTAAAGCAGCACACCTCCAGATGTCTCTTAGGTTCTAGAAAAATTTAAACAAAGATTTACACTGGTAAAAATATTGTTTGCAACAAAAGGATGCTACAGACCAAATTTGAAGTAAATCTGCCCAGCAGTTTCAGAGAAGAAGACGATTGTTGACGCATGACGACGGAGCATCCCCCTTTGATAATGATCACTCACCCTGAACCTTTGGTTCTGGTGAGATAATAAATGGTTTAAACATATCTTTAAAAAGAAAATTACAGAAAAAATTAGGGTTTTCCTTTTTCCTCTTTTAAGTCAAGAAAATAAAAGCAACATTCAATCATCTGACCTTGATGGTCAAGGTCATTTAAAGGTAAAGGTCATATCTAAATTATTAAACATGTTCGTTTGGTCATAAAAGTTGAGCTAAAAATATGTTTTACAACATCTGGAGGTATGCAGTTTTAAAGACAGCTTAAAGTTATCCAGAAATCAACAAGTTAAAATCATTTGAGCCGCATCATGACAAAACCAACGTGATGCGTTTGCGACCAGCATGGATCCAGACCAGCCTGTGCATCCGCGCAGTCTGATCAGGATTCATGCTGTTCGCTTACAAACCCTATTACAAGTAGACAAACTGATAGCGAACAGCATGGATCCTGATCAGACTGTGTGGATGTGCGGGCTGGTCTAGATCCATGCTGGTCGTAAACCCATTATGTTGGTTTTGTCGTGAAGCGGCTCATTTTTCCTTACAGAACAAGAACCTTTTTACAATGATCAGTTTTAAAATTGTAATAAATATATTGTATAACAAAAATAGAAAAACATACTCTGGCCTTGAAAAAGTAAAAAAAACAACACAAATACTGGCCAAATATTAAAGCAAGGTAACATAAGATAAACAAAATCACTGAATCACACATCCTTATAACAAATATACACGTTTTAAACACATAAACAAAGTTTTCTAAAAAACAACTTTTTTTTTTTGTTCAAATATTTGTATATTATTTTTCATAAAACTCTAAATTTATTTACATGTTTAAAGTTAAAATATATTTATATTCAAATAACAATTATCTTCATCACATTAAAATTTATTGCAAATTGTAACACACATTTTTTGTCTTTAAAAACCTAAATAGAGGATATTCAACGAGTGTATGTTAATACTAAATTGATTATACAAGCTGCATAAAACCATATGCCAGCCTCTGGCTCAACAAGTTTAATAAATTGTGTATTGAACCTACATTAATATAATATCAACCTTCACCAATATAATATCTTATTTATCACATACCCAAAATAAGAATGGTAAATTGTTAAAAAGAGTCATTTTTCATAGACGCATCTATAGTGTAACGCTTAGTTTAGCGCACTTTAACGCTATGTATAAGCAAATGATGTCACGTCAAATTATTATTACACTAGTATGTTTGAATATAATGCAAATGACATCACATCAAATTGTTATTACACTAGTGTAATATAGTTTTTATAAATGGCAGAATTATACTCCTGGGTCATGGGTTATGTGATAAATAAAAATATTTTATAAGACAAATTATATAAAAACATTGCATGTGGTGTCCACACTCGTCCCTTAAAAATTAAAAATGGGCATAACTCCATATATATAGCCCCTTGATGCCCCTTGTCAAATTACTGTGCAGTTTGATACCTTTAAAACTGTTTGAGTGATTGGCTACAAAATATTTTTTTTATATAACAACAACAACGCGGGGTCACCATAGTGATCATAATAAATCAATTTTTTTTGAGACTGACAAGCTAAAATTAACATTTAAAATACACATATATATCTATATTATATCTACATGTATATCAATGAAGACATAAACAGATTATCATAAAAGTCTGTCCATGAACATTTCTTTATAAGATATTGTTCCATAATTTTTCATGTACAATGCACATTTAATCAATATTCATGTAATTACATATTCTAACAAACCCTACGTATCACACAGAAAATGGTTTCTTTCAAATTGCTACATAAAAACATGATAATTTTTCTCGAACATTTTCTAATTCAAGAGTAAGGGTTGTCCCAAATTAGCATGACATAATTTTACATATAGAAACTTTAATTTCAGCTTTGTTATGGATGGGGGATAAGCTTTGGTAACTACTACCCTCCCATATAAATCTCAAATCCCGATAGCTTTGTCATATGAAAAGAATCTTGGTGTTGATCTTTCAAAGCTTATTAATATATTTTACTATGAAATTCAATATTCTTTTGGGACAACCCTTATATACTAAAGATTTAGAACGAAATAATTGACAATATATAAACTATTAGTAAATCAGCAGTTGTCTATCCTGTCAGCCTCTTCCGTCGTGCACGTCTATGAGGTTTTACTTTACGCCTGCGTCGACGACGTTTTTTATTGGTTTCATCTGTAAATAATTAAGATTAATATACATGTATGTATGATAAAAATAGTAACAGACATTCAAACATGTATTAGAGACAACATCCAACTAAAGACATGTCCAAAATAAAGCTGAAATGGTTTCATTTTCTTCAGGAGGCATGAAACATGTAAATAATTTATATTTCATATTCCAAGTACATATAGCAGTTATGAGTTTATTTCTATACGTGTCAAGCAGTTTATGATTTTTTTTTGATTTTTCTTTTCAAACAAAAATTTTGTCTGGTCTGACAGACTGGAGATAATATTCTGCTCTTAATTGATGACATCAAAAAGTTTTTAGAATAAAATTAATTAGTGGCATAATTTTAATTTCAGACACTTTAAACACAATAACTTTACATTTAAAAGAATCCAATTATAACTTCTAAAGGGAAGAACTGTTTCACTTAATTAATTAAAACATATTTAAGCTTGATTGTAAAACAAGTTCTAGCAACTTATATTAATCTTTTTAAGTCCATACCCTGGAAGTAACTAGAACTAGGGTCATTTGAGGAAACATGGTGTAACCCAAGACACGGTCCTATGACCTCTGTGTAGAGAGACTAACATTAATAAGTGACTACCTCATGACAGCCAAATGAAATCGCATCAAGGCGGACTGCAGACCTGGCGAGCGTTTCACTAATATTCTCTAAGTTTAGCGTATCTTTTTAAGTAAATTTGGACTTACGCAAAAAACATAAATTTACGTTAGTTGTGTTTCACTAAAAAGAACGTGCAATTTACGCCAGCAATAAGTAAGCATAACTTAGCATAGCTTAGAAAGTTTAGTGAAATGCAAATAAATACGTAATTTCTGCTTACGCAAAAGTTACTTTCAAAACTCGAGTTACAATAACGTAAGTAAGTTAGTGAAATGCACCCCAGGCCTTTATCTGTAGGTAATATCAGCAGGTCAAAGGGTATAAAACAGTAAACTTACTATAATTTTTATTTACACTACATTGTTTCCAGCCCTCGCATCTCCTCAATTCTGTTAACTCCTCGTGTAACTGATTCATGATTCCATAATCTAAGCTTGTAGCCTTGTTCTCCAACTAAAATGAAAATTTTGCAATTGTCAGAATTTACCATTTGGTTATTTCTCAAGTACTCATATGATTTACTGCACAAACTATAACTCTTAAAATCAAATCAAATAGCCATCATTACCAAATAGACAGGCCCGGCGTCTGTGGTCGAGTGGATAAGGTAGTTGACATCAAACCATGTGCCCCTCACCACTTTGGGTTCGAATCCTGACAAGGACTTGGATTCTTTCATATGAGGAAGCTATCCAGCTAGCTTACGGTACGTCGGTGGTTCTACTCAGGTGCCCGTTTGTGCCTGAAATAATGGACGGAAGGGCACCTGAGGTCTTCCTCCACCAATAAAACTGGAATGTCACCGTATGACCATTACTGTGTCGGTGCAACGTAAAACCCAATCAAACAAAACCAAATAAACAATTGTAGGTAGGGGCCTGGGCGTTATGCATGACAAGTTTTATCATAGTGAACATTTGTGCCAAGTTATTTCAAGTTATTTTCATAATTATCTACTACACAAACTTTTCTATCTCCAACGTTTCGAGGGGTTAAACCCCTCTTTTTCGAGGAGTTTCTGTTTATTTTTATAAATCAAACATTTATCTTCTTACATGTCTTATCTTACACTATGTTCTGTAAAACCATTATTTAAACATTATAAAATTCATGTTTGCCGTTTCTACAGAAGTAAAAATATATTTGTTTTGGAGGCATAACATGCCTTTATGTCAGTTCTTGGATAAATTTACTGCCAATACCCATAACTGATTGCCTCTGACCGAATCAGTTCATGTAACATAATGTGATAAAGTAATCTGAAGTGGCGGCTTATTTTGCCACTTCTTCCCATTTCTCCTTCTAGGGTTAGAACTGTGGCAATAACATAACCTGTAAATAAATTAACACATAAAATGAGCCGCGTCATGACAAAACCATCATACTGGGTTTGTGCCTCCGCGCAGTCTGATCAGAATCCATGCTGTTCGCTTACAAACCCTATTACAAGTAGAGAAACTGATAGCAAACAGCATGGATCCTGATCAGACTGCACGGAGGCGCAGGCTGGTCTGGATCCATGCTGGTCGCAAACCCATTATGTTGGTTTTGTCATGACGCGGCTCAAATGATCTTACCTGATATGGATCAGTTTTGAAATCATAGTAACTCAAGAAATTGTCAATGAATTCACAATACAGGAAGTCGTGTGTTGTGTTTATTGTTCTCAAACACCAGTACGTGTTAGTTACAGCATTTGTACAGAAACAAAATGGCCCCACTGAAATATAACAACAAATTAAACACCAGTATGACTTTGTGTTCATTACAGCATTTGTACAGAAACAAAAATGGCCCCACTGAATTGTAACAACAAAGTCAGTTATTGAAATCATGTTAAACTTTCATACAGGAAGTTATCTTAACAAAAATATGAGTGATTTTGGTCCTTTTCTGAAAAATCAACCTTTTTTCAAACATTTAGTTTTACATTAGTAAACTGTTGATATGAGTCAGTGCACACAGCACATTCTATGATAATACCAATAAGTTACAACATAAAATGCCAGAGCGATCAGTAATCACATGTGTCGTCTGAGACACGTCATTTAAAGGGACTCCAGAGAGGATTTTGACATGATCAGGCTGAAAATATTTTTCCAAGGTTTGTGGTCAATTTGATGTAGATTTGAATCAATAACTTGTGTGCAAATTTTCAAATTGTTCCCTCAAACCATTTTTTACAGACAAATCATTTTATTGTGCCAAATGACCAAACAAGAGCACGCTAGGCGGAGCATTATATGCCCGAAAGTATTTTTTTTTTTAGTAAGGATGACCTTGACTGTTGACCTTTTGACCCAAAAATCAATAAGGGTCTTCTACCCAACATGGACAATCATCCTATGAAGTTTGAACATTGTGAGCCAAATGGAACTTAACATATGCTCCGACAACTGTTTTCAATATTAAGGGAATATTGACCTTCACCTTTGACCTTTTGACCCCAAAATCAATAGGGGTCTTCTACCCAATATGGACAATCATCCTATGAAGTTTGAACATTGTGGGTCAAATGGAACTTTAGATATGCGCGGAAACATATTTTTCAGTCTCAATGTAATAGTGACCTTCACCTTTGACCTTGTGACCCCAAAATCAATAGAAGTCTTCTACCCAATATGGACAATCATCCTATGAAGTTTGAAAATTGTGGGTCAAATGGAACTTAAGTTATGCTCTGGAAACTGTTTTCAGTTATAAGGTAATAGTGACCTTGACCTTTGACCTTTTGACCCCAAAATCAATAGGGGTCTTCTACCCAATATGGACAATCATCCTATGATGTTTGAACATTGTGTGCCAATTGGAACTTAAGTTATGCTCCGGAAAATGTTTTCAGTATCAAGGTCATAGTGACCTTGACCTTTGACCGTGTGACCCAAAAATCAATAGGTGTCTTCTTCCCAATATGGACAATCATCCTATGAAGTTTGAACATTGTGGGTCGAATGGAACTTAAGTTATGCTCCGGAAACTGTTTACAGTTTTAAGGTAATAATGACCTTGACCTTTGACCTTTTGACCCCAAAATCAATAGGGGTCTTGTACCCAATATGGACAATCATCCTATGAAGTTTGAACATTGTGGGCCAAATGGAACTTAAGTTATGCTCCGGAAACCAAATTGCTAACGGACGGAGGGACAGACAGACGGATGCCAGGGGGTATACATAATATGCCCTTTCAGGCATATAAAAACTGAAAATAGTTTCACTTTTCACTCAAATTGGGCTAGGAATTGCACTATTGGTTTTCAATTCAATTCTGTGTATATTTCATTATCGTCCTTTGCAAGCTTTTCCAGCTTTAGTGCTTAACTTTATCTCAATTTCAAATTTTATGTTTTTGGCTTTTTGACCTTATGTGAAGCTCCATTAAATGTAAAAAGAGCATCTTATGAAGTCAAATTTCGATTGAATGATGATGGCATTGTTCTTTAAGAGAAAAAAACTCATATTCATGAACTTGTTTAATTCAAATTGTGTTTTATATTAAAAATAAAAAAGAAAATTGAAAGAAAAGAGATGATAAAATAAAAAAAATAACAACAAAAAATTTACAACAAGTAAATTTGTGTCCATTTGAAAACTCAATTTTTCCAAAACTTATTTCATTTATTTCCAATTTATAGGTCTCATATGTACGCAAATGAATTTTAAACAATTTATCATTACAGCCCAAGTCCTTTTTGAATGTAACAAAAAATACATACAAGTCCAATATGGTGGTGTTTTCCAGTGATTATTGTGGTGCATTGTACATTTAAGATCATCATGGTTACAGTTCCTTCCTTTTTTCAAAGTTAAATCAAAATCTACTTCTGATGAATCATCCTCCACATCTTCATACCTGAAACGATCATACAAGATTTCATTGATCATACAACACTTCAATAATCATGCAACACTTTATAAATCCTACAACATTTCATTGATCATACAACATTTCATTAATCATACAACATTTTATCAAACATACAGCATTTTATCAAACATACAGCATTTTATTAATCATACAACATTTTATTAATCATACAACATTTTATCAAACATACAGCATTTTATCAAACATACAGCATTTTATTAATCATACAACATTTTATTAATCATACAACATTTTATTAAACATACAGCATTTCATAAATCATACAACATTTTATCAAACATACAGCATTTAAAGACGTTTTCGGTAGTTTTCTGTGCGCATCGTTATGCGCTTCCAAGAAAGATAATCACGGATAATTACTCTTCAAATGAAGGTCAAGTTGAATAGTATTCGGATGAGTGTTTAAATTTCGGCTATAAGCAAATAATGAGTAAATAATACAGAATAGATATTTCTAAATGTTCAAAAGGAGATCGGTTCAAAAGAATAAGAGGTCGTTTAGACAACATCACATAAAGGATTTCTCCAAGCATTAGAAAGACATCATTGATGATAATTCTGCGCGCGTTACCCCACCCACTTGTGGTATAGTGAAGAATCTGCGTCGCGGCTTGATTACTGGCAGACAACATGGCAAAGAAGTTTAAAAAAATATACTTTAAAAGTGTTGAATAAAGAAAACAAAATTAATATCTAAGAAATGTTCCGAATTTCATTATTTTCTTTGTAAATTTCTGAATACTTGCTTACTGTTCGGGTATGTTAGTCGAGTGAAAAAAATAATATGGCCCTAGATATGTTTTAAAAAGATATTCAGTATCATTTACTTAATATAACATCGAAAGAAAAAGAAATTTTTATTACAACATGTTTTTGGTGTATATTTGACAATACATTTAGTATAACACTGATATTTCTTAAGAAAGCGTGGTAATTTTGACAGTTGGCATATGCGGTAACCATGGAAACTGCCCGTTTACAAAAAAAAAAACTAACCCGTCAACATATATATTTTATTTCTATTTTTGAATCCACCATCAAATGTTACTTGATATATCAATAATGTAGAAAATTCTATGAAAGAAATTTCTTGATAGCTTTAATTTTTTTACAGAATTCATGTTTATTTTTCTCATTTTTTGTTTAGTTAAAAAAACATGAAAACTCATCTTTTAAAGAAATATGTTCCAATTATCGTTTGTTTTATACAGAACCCTAAGATAAAGCAAGCTTTGTATAAACTTATGTTTATTGTGAGTGTAATAAGCTATTTTATACATTATTATAACACAGTTTGGCTATTTTGACAATTTTGAGATATACGGTTACCATGGAAACTGCCATTTTTCAAAAAATCCAACACGCCAACATATATTTTTCTTTTTCTTTTTGAATTTGTCATTAAATTTTACACAATATACAAAAAAATTAGAAAATCCTATGAAACACTTTTTTCAATATCTCTAATTATTCTCAGAATTAATGTTTATTTTTCTCATTTTTTGTTCGCTTGAGGAACATGGAAAACTCATTTTTTAAAGAAATATGTTCAGATTATCATTTGTTTCATACAGAATCATTAGATAAGGTTATCTTTGCATAAAACAATGCTCGTTGTGTGTTTTAAGCAATCTTATACATTTCCTATTCGTTATAACACAGTTAGCCTATTTTGATAGTTTTTAGATATACGGTTACCATGGAAACTGCCATTTTACAAGAAATCCAACACGTCAACATATATTTTTCTTTTTATTTTTAAATTCGTCATTAAATTTTACTCATCATACAAAAAATTTAGAAAATTCTATGAAAGGATTAATTTTTCATAAAACTGTAGAAAATGTCTTTAATCAAACATACAGCATTTTATTAATCCTACAACATTTTATTAATCATACAACATTTTATTAAACATACAGCATTTCATAAATCATACAACATTTTATCAAACATACAGCATTTAATCAAACATACAGCATTTTATTAATCCTACAACATTTTATCAAACATACAGCATTTTATTAATCATACAACATTTAATAATCATACAACATTTTATTAAACATACAGCATTTCATAAATCATACAACATTTTATCAAACATACAGCATTTTATCAAACATACAGCATTTTATTAATCCTACAACATTTTATTAATCATACAACATTTTATTAATTCTACAACATTTTATTAATCATACAACACTTCATTTATCATACAACAATTTATTGATTATACAACACTTCATTAATTATACAACACTTCATTAATTATACAACATTCATTTATCATACAACACTTTAATGATTATACAACACTTTATTGATAATATAACACTTTATTGATTATACAACACTTCATTAATTATACAACATTTTATTGATCATGCAGCATTTCATTAATCATACACCATTTCATTTATCATACAACACTTCAGATGTTCAAAAAAGTTCTTGACTGAATAGCAAGCCTAATATTTGTCTGCACTGGTTGCCTAGAGTTAAGTTTTTCCCAAATATATTTTCATGTAACATTAATGAAGTCAAGGGTGGAGCCAATTTTAATGTCAGGGCATGTATGGTAGTGGTCCCAATCATTGCTGTTTTACATTATGGTCTACACTATTTAACTTTCCAGTTAGTACATATTTTGAAATTTCCCCCATAAAGATGAATGGTTTTATCCAGATTTGAAGATGGACAAGTCCATTTAAGATGTATAGAGGAATAAAAGTTAATCCTTATGACTCTAGCAAAAGTTTGTTATCAATGCTTGCCCTTGACAGTACTAATATTTGATATACATACCCTGTTAATTCTGGTGGAAGTTCATAATTCTCATCACAATTACACTCATCGTTGCTATAGTTACTGACATCATCATCATAATCTTCACTATCCTCATCATCGTAGTCATCCTCAGTCGTATAGTCAATGTTGTAGTTACGCTCGTAATCATTCCCGTCATCATCATACTTGTTTCTACGTAACTTTTTTCGCTGCTTTTTCATATTTTTTCGAATTTTCTGTAACATGTACAAAATTCTGGAATTAATGACTGAAATGTAACAAATGGTTCTAACATGTAATCATCCAGTCACACCTGTCAAGTCATGAGTTTAATACATACGGAATATTATTTTGTAGCTTTCTGAGGCTTTGTATTTTTGCTACAAGCAGTAGTGTAAAATTGATATCTCACGAGACCTAAAGTCAAGCAAGATATCAATTTTCCAATGTTGCAAAGAGAAAAATACATAGCCTAAGAAAGCTACTACAACATAATATACCTTTTCCTTTTATTTAGAAAATGGAATGTAGTTGTCAAGAAATAAATTCATGACTGACGGATGAATATGTAATTCTTGCAAAACTGGCCACGCCTTTAATAATTTTTGTTCCCGTTTCCAAATGCAATGTTATACAAAGCTTAGATCGGAACCAATGTCAAAAATAGTCTGACACTTCCATATATGGTACCATATTTGTCACTAACATAATACGGAAATTTCCAACCGTTGAAGCATATTTGCGCATCAAGATTTGCTTGTATTTTATGGGGAAAATTTATATGTACGTCATAAAAATTTTTATGACGATATTGAAGTTTGCCAGATGCTATTCATTTCATGTTATGTTTTGGCTGGATTTAAAATTACAGCAATGCCTGAGAAAAGACTGCCAGCATTATGGTTGAAAATGTATGAGCTAAGGGCTGTAAATCTATTGAAATATTGACAATACCTTCAAGTTCCTCAATCTTTTCTTCGTCTCCTCGATCATTTCATCCAGCTGAAGTTTGTGATTGTCCCATTTTTCCGGGTCACGTTCAAGATCACGGTCACAGGCAAATGTATTGTTCGGATAAAATCTACACCTTTGTCGGTTGTTTTCTAACTGTTGTGCTATTAGCAAATGTTAAAAAGAAAGTAAATATTGGTATAATGTAAAATAGTAAAAAAATCTGGAAATAAAGTAATCCCTCAGAAGCATTAATCACAACAAGATTTACATGAAAATTGTAGACTTGGTTTGATTGAGTCTGTACATGAGGGATTTCACATTGCAAATAGCCTTACAACTCATGTTATATACCAAAGAAGAGGTCAAAATATGCAAAAATACCCCTCACTGCATTAGTCACTTAGTAGAAATATGGTGATAAAGAGGGAAAAATCAGTCAGTAATTGCATTATATCATGTAAATTATTACTTTTATCTTGAATATACATGTACATACAAATGTACTTTTCTTAAAACTCAGTATTTTATTCTCAAGTTTGATTTATCAAGAAATATTTTAGCTAATCTGGAGGCATGCAGCTTTAATATGATTAAAAATTTCAATACTTTAATGATTAATAGTAAGTACACATAATTAATATGTACACCTTATAAAATGGAATTTTCAGTCAAATATCAAACAAAATCTAGGCGGCAGAATGTTAAAAATAAAACTAATGCAGTTATATTGTATAATTATAATACTAAAAACAAACATATATCAAAATTAACTGCCCCCCACACCCACCACATCTTTATAAACACAGTAATTACCTATAAGTCTCATTTTCCATTCCAAATCTTCGTTATATGAACGCTTGTTCCGTAAAAATCTGGGCTCAAAATCTGAAAGTTAGAAAATGTAAAAGTATGACCACTCTAGTGGGCACTATTAGGAACTGAAAGACAGATTAAATAATTTAAACAAAGTTTACTTACAGTTTGGACTAAAAGACATTGTTCAGCCGTGATTTTTCTTACTGCTATATTTTACCTCTATATAGTTGACTCTCAATAAGTCAAAATCGCTTTACTCAAAATTTCACATAAGTCGAAGAATTTCTAAAGTCCCGTCAAATTTCCTTCTTTATCTTTGTATTTTAACTCCGCTTAGGTCAAATTTTGACTTACCGAGACTCCTGTTTAGTCGAAAAGAAAATTTGGTCCCGTCAATTAAAGTCCAACATATTTTCATCTAAATTAGTCGAAGTGTGAAAACAGCCGACTGATCAAAGGTTGGCGACATCAAGGTGAGATGTTGTCACTCGTGATTCACACGTTTCATAGTAATTTTAATTGCCAGTCATCATGTATTATTAGCACGTCGTAAAGTGGTTTTAATAAGTTTCAGGACTTAATTGTAATTCAACGTAAATGACATACGTATAATTAATGTTCCGTCATATTGCATACAATAATATTTACTTCCGGTTCACGATAGTTGCTACTTTCGTTTTCGTCTGATGATCAATTCACTTCACATATTAGATAAATTGTTGTTGAAATAAATGTGTAATTGTGTTTTTATTGTAATGATTGTCACGAGTGCTTATTAAAAATATGTGCTTTACTGATGAATACTGACAAACTTGCTTGTATGTCATCGCTACGAAAGTTTCACTATTAATATACATGTATTAAATTTTGAATAATATATTTTGTTCATCTTAAATTTAAAATTGTAAGTGATTTACCGTCATTTCAATGGTTAAATATTACAGCATTGCCGGTATCAACAATAAAAAACCTACTTCTTTGCACATTCAATCAAACACATGTATATACATGTACAAATGTCAACGTAATAACGGCAGATCCAGGTTACTCGAATTCCGTTTCTCTCGAAGTAAATGCCAAGTCCCTTGAATTTCGAGTTACCGAGCGTCAAATGTATATATTATTTGACCAGAAAGTTACAGGTTGTTGAAAATAAAATAAAATAAATCACAGGTCAGAAGGGCTCTTTTTCAGAAAAAAAGGAACCTCTTAATTTGTTTGTTTGTTTGATTGGGTTTTATGTCACACAGACACAGTATAGGTCATATGGCAATGTTCCAGCTTTAAAGGTGGAGAAAGACTTCATGTGCCCTTCCATGCATTATTCCAGGCAAGAATGGGCAGAACCACCGACGTTCCAGAAGCTTGCTGGATAGCTTCCTAACATGAAAGAATCAAAAGTCCCTGTCGGGATTCAAACCCACAGATGTGAGGGGCAAATGGTTTGAAGTCAACGACCTTAACCACTCCGCCATGGACGCCCCAGAATCTCTTACTATTGCACACTATCGAATTATTGTAAAGTTACAAGTAATACAGGAACACATAATTTGTAAACATAAAATGCACTTTTGAGAATAATTTACAATTGAAAATATAAAGAAAAACAAGACACCTTTGTCATTGACATGGTTCCGCAAAAAGTTCCTTTGCATAGTTTCTTCTGCCTCTGTCATTGGTCTATTGTTTTCCCATTGTTTGCTACAATCACACTTTGGGTTCTTTTGTGTACTTGCTGGTAGATTGTAGGTCCTTGCTGGTGAATCTTTTTGAAACTGATTTTGATCATCAAATGCTACAGTTTTGTTGTAGTTACGACATTTCTTAGTACGTTTTCTGTTCCGACTATCTCTAAAGCAAACCCATTTCTGAAAACAATTTTGTCATTTCAATGAAGACAACACATTTTCTATATGTAATATTGCCTTTCAAAACAGAGGCAAAAACAATTTTTAAATTGCTTGCTTAAGAAATGCATAAGCCTTGAAAGTGATATTTACATCTTTATAATAATGCATTTCAATATTTTGAGACACACTGATATCTATTTTTAGTACTTAATTTTTACTTTCAACCTCAATATAATGTATCTACAGTTATAATTCTATATTTACTTCTTAAAAAAAAAAAATACATATACATAAATATTTATGTGCAAGCAGATCTGTAAGTGTTTCAACTTTCAAGTCTGTAAGACACATATGCCCCCACTTACCTTTGTTCTATTAGTCTACAAACAGTCAGCATGCAACAGGACAGACGTGAAATCTACATACCCTCCCCCACCCCTACCCCCACTAAGCAGATTTATGAGTGGTTCCAGTACGTAAGACACATATGTCTCCACTTTCCAGTGTTCTATAATTCTACAGACAGACTGACAGACAAACAGTGCCAAACAGCAGGACAGACACGGTGAAATATACATACCACCCAAGCCCACACCACCCCACCCCAACTAAGTAGGGGGCGCCATAAACAACCCATGTCACAATATTTTTTCAAAACTAGTTACTATACAGACCTGATTCATCTTACAAGGAGGTTGATTGTTTGGATCTTTACATATTTTCAGCGTTCGTCTTAATTTCGGGTTGGCATATTGCATCAATTCATCCTCATGGTCCTCGAGAATCTTACGATCTTGTTCCCGCGTATACGCCTTGATTAAATTCTTTGTAACTTTCCTGTGTTAGAAAAACAACCCAGGTCAAATCAGATCTAACTTAAAAATGTAATTAGAAATGAACATGTATTCTAGAACATTTTTATTACCTTCAATATAAAAGTATGTAATTTCGGATCATGTACATTATACTTGCAAACAACATACATAATTCTTTCATTGTTTATTGTTCTGTTATACTGAGTACTATTAAAGGGACTCCACTGAGGTTTTTTGACATGATGGGACTGAAACTATTTTTTCCAGATAAATGTTCCATTTGATGTAGGTTAAGACCACTAATCTTTGTTTAAAATTTCAGCTCATTCACGCCCTTTTTTTTTCTAGAATAATTTTTCAAAATGTAAAAAAATGACCTAAAATTGAGCTAAGAAAAGCATAGAAATACGATTTTTAATTTATTTCAAAGTATTTTTCTTCACTATCTTCGCATGTATATCTGTTTAAAGTGCCCCAGCTCATTTGTGTAAGAAATTCAAATGTTATGTTTTTAGGCTTTTAAACCTCAGTGGAGTCCCTTTAATGTAAATATTTATTGTATTACATCCCTACCATTATAGACCAATTCACTTTATGTTCTTGACTAACTGTGCAAAAAGCATTACAGCAATGAGTAAGCTCCCATGGCATTTTAGTCTAAGCAGTACTTTCAATATGGTATTGACAAATAATGAATTGACCCAGTAAAAGCTATATTTATTATTTAAGTTGTCTCTCTTGAAGAACTGTCAAAAGTTACCTCCCTTGTATATAATCAAATTCTATTTAAAGATATTAATTTGATAAGGTAACTGTTAGTGTGAAACATGTTTGTACTATTTGTATCAATAAAGTGAGCCGCGCCATGACAAAACTAACAAAGTGCATTTGCGACCAGCATGGATCCACACCAGCCTGCACATCCGCTGTCTGATCAGGATCCATGCTGTTCGCTCACCAACTCTATTACAAGTAGAGAAACTGATAGAGAACAGCAAGGATCCAGATCAGACTGCGCGGATGCGCAGGCTTGTCTGGATCCATGCTGGTCGCAAACGCACTATTTTGGTTTTGTCATGATGTGGCTCAAATGTCACCATAATTACCCTCTTTCAATTAAGAAAGTGTCCCTCCATGGCCTTTTAGTTTCTACAAAGTCACCTTGCAAACTGAAATGACAGCAAGTTTAGTTCAATATTGACAAGTTAAGTTCAATATTGACAAGTTTAGTTTAATATCGAAAAGTTTAGTTCAATATTAACAAATTTAGTTCAATATTGACATGATATACATACATATCCTATTCCTTTAAACGTTTGTATTTTCATATTTTGAACAATAAAACAATCTGTTTGTATGATCAAAATTACTTGATTTTTATATTTGTATTGTATATTTCTTTCTTACTTGGCAATAAGTTGTCACACAGAAACTGTTAAATTCATATGGCAATTTTACAGCATTTAGTGTGAAACAGACAAATTTAATGTAAACATATATTTTGTTGCTCCTGTTCAATGATGTTTTAGTTCAAAGAACACATGACCATACAAGTATTTTAGGAAACATCAATAACAGAAATGTATCAATGATGTTGATGAAATCTATGCTGAATGAGGGTCCATCTGCCCTTTACAGCACAAAATGCAGTTTTCACTATCAAGTACGGACCCCGGACATATCACCAGTCATGCCCTTATGCTATTGGTAAATGGTATTGCACAACCGTGCATATATTTTGATGCAACATCATTTGCGTTATATAAAAATAGCGTTTAGACAAACTAAATCTTAGTGTTATACTCTAGGTGCACCAATGAAAAACTGTTCTTTTTCACTTCAAACAATCTTTATTTTTGGATTTTAATAAATAGAATATAAATATAAGTTCATTACACTAAATTTTTTGAACTCGTTGAAAAGAATAATATCATGTTTGCCATATTTTATTCAACTTGTTCAATAAATTCACTATTAAACTTACATTCATTCAATATCCTTTATATACTTGCCAGAGGCTTGCATAATATAATTTTATTCAACTCGTTCAATAAATTCACTTTTAAACTTACATTCATTCAATATCCTCTATAACTTGCCAGAGGCTCGAATAATATAATTTTATTCAACTCGTTCAATAAACTCATTCATTCAATATCCTGTATATACTTGCCAGAGGCTCGCATAATATAATTTTGTGCAATAAACTCACTCATTCAATATCCTCCATATAAGGATTCATTTTGTACAGTACTTACTTTAGACTAACTTTATGTACTTTGATCAGTTTCAACAAGGACCGGCCATCCATGTGTGCTGGTATCTCAATGCCAGCCATGTCCAGTATAGTCGGGGCTATATCCACATTCCCTACAATATTTGGTATTCTACAAAACAATCAATATTAAAATGTTAAATCAGTCATCATGGTTTCGTTTGTTTGTTTGTTTGTTTGGGTTTTACGTCACACTGACACAGTATAGGTCATATGGCGACGTTTCAGCTTTACTGGTGTAGGAAGACCTCAGGTGCCTTCCGTTAATTATTTCAGTCACAAATGGGCACATAGTTAGGTAGTGTAAGCTAGCTGGATAGCTTCCTCACAGGAAAGTATTCAAAGTCCCCGTCGGACATCAAACCAACAGCAGTGAGGGGCAAGTAGTTTGAAGTCAACAACCTTAACCACTCGGCCATGGTATCATGGTATCCAATTTTCAGTTTATTATGAATCAATCACATATAAACCTCCAATAGTAAGGAAGCAATCTATCTTTTTTATACAAGTATTAAAGCTGCATACTTCCAGTTCCAGACAAGCAAAAATATTTCAAGAAAACATGAGAAAAATGTAAAGTATTCAGGAAAGGTAAACAGATTCAAGATATTTATAACTTACAGGTTATGTCCAATTCATGACTGATTTTGAAATCCTAAATCACCTTATTTCTACTGTGTGACTAACGCAGTAAGGGCTATTTTTGCATATTTTTACCTCTTTTTGGTGGATTATAAGTGCTTTTTTGTAACATGTAAATGATTATCTTTGTTCATTGCACTTTCATTTTTTTACTTTTAAATACATAATTCAAAATTTTCACGAAAACTAGCATGAATCTGGAGGCATGCTGCTTTAATATATGTTTCAAGTATATCTCTCTTTTAATTAAAACCTTTTTACTCATTACAAGTATGTTTTTAAAGAATTTTCTTCAACTAAATAAAACATGCAGTCAAAAGGGCTTCAGATCTGGCAATGAAATAGTCACAACTCCATATACATGTACATGTAGTACTGAGCTGTGAAAAAAGAAACTAATCTTGTATTTAATTAACAAGAGTGACCAGTGATCACATGTGTCGTCTGATGATAACCAATTCAGCAGCTGTATTGAGGGGTGATTGGACGTATTGAGGGGTGATTGGACGTATTGAGGGGTGATTGGATGTATTGAGGGGTGATTGGACATATTGAGGGGTGATTGGACATATTGAGGGGTGATTGGACATATTGAGGGAAGATTGAACGTATTGAGGGGTGATTGGATGTATTGAGGGGTGATTGGACGTATTGAGGGGTGATTGGACATATTGAGGGGTGATTGGACATATTGAGGGAAGATTGAACGTATTGAGGGTGATTGGACGTATTGACGGGTGATTGGAGGTATTGAGGGGTGATTGGACGTATTGAGGGAAGATTGGACGTATTGAGGGGTGATTGGACTTATTGAGGGGTGATTGGACGTATTGAGGGGTGATTGGATGTATTGAGGGGTGATTGGACATATTGAGGGGTGATTGGACATATTGAGGGGTGATTGGACGTATTGAGGGAAGATTGAACGTATTGAGGGGTGATTGGACGTATTGACGGGTGATTGGAGGTATTGAGGGGTGATTGGACGTATTGAGGGGTGATTGGACAGTCTTTTAACTATATGTAGCAGGATACACAAAAATCGTAATTGGGCCACAATGCTTTTTTTTTATTCAAGGGCCATAATTCAGTCAAAAATCAATTATGATATGCACAACTAGACTTGGTACTGAACATTCAGGTAGACTTTGTATGAAATTGCACCAGTAGTTCTTGAGTAGTAGTTCAGACAAGTTTTGAGATGAATAGACAGACGGACAGACAGATGACAGAGAAGTGATCCCTCTGTAGCCAATGAGACAAAAAAACAGTGGTCAACATTTTTCATACTTGAACACAAATTTACCTATCTACATACATGTAAATACATATCCTTCATAATAAAGGTTATACTGACAGTATTTAGGTCAAGTTTGTAATGTTTTTTAAATATTTTGCATGGCAGTCAAAATACTAATCTTTTTCCAATTTGCATGTATGACAAGTTGATTTTACATTCAGCTATACTTTCATCAGGTGATAATTATCTAACATGCTCTAAATCCAGTAATCAAAACACATGTTTCCCCCTTTCTAAAGAGGAGCAAAAAATATTTTCTGAAGTAAACGTAATGTGCCTGCGAGGATTTCAATCTAAATATGCGAGAGGGGAAAAGTTGTTTAAAGTTTTATACCACTCACCAATGGAGAACTTTCTTCATTTCTAAACAGAACTTATCTTATTGACTTATACAGTTATACAGTTTTTTTTTAAAAACTGAAAACATTTCAAACTTTATATATGATATACATACTTTGTATCTTTGAGAATTCCTGGGCCTCTCATAAACAATGGCACTCTTGTGTCAAAGTCGTACGGGAGTGCTTTCCCTTTAACAATACCGTACTGTCCTAAATGGTAACCATGGTCTGACGTGTAGATAATGTACGTGTTATCAAGCTCACCTAGCAGACGCAATTCGTAATGCACCTGTTAAAAGATAAAGAGATTAAAATCTTGTTAATTTTCATCACCAATGCATGTCTTATAACACAATTTACATTTGATCTTAAATTCTTTCAAACAGAGCTCACAGGGATTTTTTTTTGTTTGCTATCAGAATGTTGCACACATTTCTTATCCATTTTCTCACATCTTTTGAACTTTTGTTACCTTCAAGGCAGCTTTTTTTTTCTTCTTTCTAAATGTAGCAAATTAATTAGACAGGATCAGTTTACTGTAGAAATTTGTGCATCACTAAGAGTATGATATGCAAATATCTTTGAAATTTGTAATGTTTACCTTAAGGCTATATGCTATTTACAATTCATATTAATCATCGTATTCTTATCCCTGTGCCAATCTGATAAGTAAGTTACAATCAAACCTGGCAAAAATTAAGTCCTACAAAAATGGAAACTCCACAGGTTATGGTCAATTTTTTTTTTTAATTACTTTATTTAGCAAAAACCAATGTCTCTAAAATTGGGGAATCTCAGCATAAACAGTAGTTTTATATATTTAGTGGACATATTAGCATATATCTGAAAATGACATAATAAAGCCTGCTATCCTTTCTGTTAAAGCAGCATGCCTCAAGATTCATGCTAAAATTCATGAAAATTTTGAAAATGTATTAAAAAGTAAAATATTGTAAAATGAACAAAGAAAATTACTTTCACATTGCAAACAGCACTTACAAAACCATATTAATTACCAAAAATAGGTCAAAATATGCAAAAATAGCCCTTACAGCGTTAGTTACGCAAAAGAAATATGTTGAAAAATACAGCTAAAATCCATTTTAAATCGCACGTAACATGGAAATCATTACTTTTATCTTGAATCGTTTTACTTTTGTAAAAATCCAAATACTTTTTTTTAAGTTTGATTTTCTTGAAATATTTTGGTTCATCTTGAGGCATGCAGCTTTAAACCTATCGTAAAAAATATAGAATACCTTTTCAACTAGACTATCCACAGACTGTAGGGTCTGTAACCGTTTCCTCTGTAACATATCAGTGAAAGTCGCGTCTATCGGTTCCATAGGCTTCATACGTTGAAGCAGCCATTGTTTATCTGAATTGTTCATGTAGTTCCAACTTGGTGTCCTGTTAGGAAAAAAACTCATGCGTAATAAATATACTTTTAACCAGGGTTCTTAATAAGAACTAGCCGAAATGACCATTTGGAAACACATTTTGGCTGGCTAAAATTCATAGAATTTTCAAAAATCTTTCAACCCTGGTGACCGTCCAACACCCCCGACGCTTTAAGATGGGGTATATACTTGTCTCACACACTGTACCATCTATGTTGTTAGTGGGATATGAAATATATTTCATTATTTCATATACAGATTTTTTTTGTGGTATGTTTTATCATATTTTTTGGTTTGAGACTGGCGAAAAATCATTTCTTACCAATAATTGTTTTCACCAATTACAGTACAGATTTATTCAAAATCTACTGTGAATTGACTTCAATTTCATGGGCATGAATTTTAGTTGTTTTGTCACTAAGAACCATGAATTTTCATGGTTTTGCCACTAAGAACATTTTTGTGTGTTTTTAAATTCATGGACTATCTATTTTTTCAAAAGGTAAAATGTAAATAATGAGCTGGAAAAGACATAATGAAATTTTGTTAGCTCTTAAATTTGTGGATTGACCTATCCCCGAAAACCACGAAACTTAGTGCCCCACGAGAAAAATAATAATTTGATTATTAAAATTAACATCTTGTAATAAACTCCTGTGCTTCTTTTATATACCTGAAATCACCGTTCTAACAGTGAATTAGTTAACTAACAATGTAAAATGTTCAATAAAATACCTGTCAAGTCACTGCACTGAGAAATTATTAGTGAAACATTTTGGCATTTAGGTTTTGGCATTAATGTTGTGGAAGTGTAACATTTTGTTTCAAATTAATTTGCTTGGCAAGGTTAGAAAAGCATTATACATCTTCAAACTTACTGTTAGCAATAATATTTATACTTCTTGAGCAGTGAATACGTATTTTTCATATTTTCTAGTGAAAATGTATTTTCACATTTTCTAGTGGAAATGTATTTTCACATTTTCTAGTGAAAATGTATTTTCACATTTTTAAGTGAAAATGTATTTTCACATTTTCTAGTGAAAATGTAATTTCACATTTTCTAGTGAAATGTATTTTCACATTTTCATATCAGACTAAGTTTTCTTCTTTTTAGTTTTTTTACCTGTGTAATGTATTATTTTCAAACATATGTTGATATTTTACCTGTGTAATGTATTATTTTCAAACATATGTTGATATTTTACCTGTGTAATGTATTATTTTCAAACATATGTTGATATTTTACCTGTGTAATGTATTATTTTCAAACATATGTTGATATTTTACCTGTGTAATGTATTATTTTCAAACATATGTTGATATTTTACCTGTGTAATGTATTATTTTCAAACATATGTTGATATTGTGGGGCAGCATCTTCAGGTCCATGTGGTGCTGGTACACTGAGCATCATCATAACTGGCCTGAAATAATAATAAAATCTGTATAAGATTTTGTCCTGAAATAATATTAAGCTAGCCACTGTCATGGTGTGAATACCTCCGCATACCACTTTGTCAGAATCACAGTAGTCATTTAAAACTCCAGGACAACCTCCCTGCTAAATCTGAGGGTAGTAAGCCAGTGCATTGCTAAGTTATGTATTCTACATGTTTTTAGTGGCAAAGATCAAAGTGACCTTTACCTTTGACCTAAAAACTGAAACTGCCACTGCACAACTTTAATACCCCTCCCCACATTCATGCAGCTTTGCCTGGGGGTGTTTTATGATAAACATAATTATATACTTCAAATGTGAAAATTTCAAAATCAATACACTGCGGACAGGCATTCTTAAGCATTTGAGCTTATTGTAATGACTAAAGGAATCTTAAGTTATTGTGCGAACAAGCTTTTTGAAGTGAAGGCCCCTGTGACCTCAAAATCAATAGGGGTCATTTTATGGTCATGACTAACCTCCATGCCAAATATAAAGACTGTGGGTCAAAGGATTCTAAAGTCATTGGGCGGACAAGCTTTTTGAAGTCAAGGCCCCTGTGACCTTGACCTTTAACCTGGGTACCTCAAAATCAATAGGGGTTATTTCCTTGTCTGCCCAATAACTTAACATTCCTTTGACCCACAGTCTTCATATTTGGTATTGAGATTGGTCATTATTAGTTGATGACCCCTATTGATTTTGGGGTTACCAGGTCAAAGGTCAAGGTCACAGGAGTTGGTGCACTGTGACATTTGTCCTAGGCATTGATGTTAAAATTAGCATTAGTAGATTTAGTGAAATTGGAAATATCACAAATGAAATATACCATTGAAAAAAACAAAACAAATTACTTGTGAGCCACATTTACCTAATGCATTGCTTTTTAAACTTAACAAGAGCTGTCACAGGAGACAGCGAAGCTCGACTAATAAAATACTGGACGCAGTAAGGAGGACAAAACTATGAAAGAAAAATCAATTATGTATAATAATGTATTAAGTTAAAGTAAAAAAATAACATTTGTTAACATAAATTCCAAGATCAAGGGGAATAATTCTAGAAATAGTCATGCTAGAGTTATGGACCTTGTCACACAACATTTGTGTAATGATAAGAAATATATGTTTGAAGTTTGAAGTAGATACCTTAAAAAGTAAAGAAGTTATTATATTTCTTAAAGAAAATCCTAAGTTCAAAGAGAGATAAATCTGTAAATATTGCTTCAAGAGTTATGAACATTGTCACATAAAATGTAATTGATGATAAGCAATAAGTATTTGAAGTTTGAGGTAGATACCTTTAAAAAATAAAAAAAGTTATAATAAAAAATAACATTTTTCTAGTAAAAAAATATAAGTTTATGGGGAGATAATTCTTGCAATATTGGTGCTAGAGTTATGACCCTTGTCACATAAGATGTGGATGATGATAACGTAAATATATTTGAAGTATGAAGTTGATCCCTTTAGAAATAAAATAAGTAACAGTAAAAAAATAATATTTTTATGGAAAATTCTAAGTTCAAAGGGAGATAAATCTGAAAATATTGGTGCTAGAGATATGAACCTTGTCAACATAAGATGGGGATGATGATAACGTAAATATATTTGAAGTATGAGGTTGATCCCTTAAGAAATAAAGAAGTAACACTGTAAGAAAATAGCATTTTTTGAGGAAAATTCTAAGTTCAAGGGGAGATAAATCTGAAAAATATTGGTGATAGAGTTATGAACCTTGTCCCATAAGATGAGAATGTTGATAAGGTACATATATTTGAAGTATGAGGTTGATCCCTTAAGAAATAAAGAAGTAACAGTAAAAAATAGTATTTTTTAAGGAAAATTCTAAGTTCAAGGGGAGATAAATCTGAAAATATTGGTGCTAGAGTTATGAACCTTGTCACGTAAGCTGTGGTTGACGATAAGGAACATATATTTGAAGTTTGAAGTTGATACCTTAAGAAATGACAAAGTTATAGTGAAAAATATTTTACTGCACCAAAACTTTAATCTAAAATCTGGACGCGGACGCCGACACCGGGGCGAGTAGGACAGCTCTCCATATACTTCGTATAGTCGAGCTAAAAATTCACTAGCCCAAATTGCGAGTAAATGGCTATTCATTCTATGTATCTGACGAGTGCAGACCAAGATCAGCCGACACATCAATGCCGTCTAATCATTGACTGCATGTTTGCTATTCAGTTAATATACATATTTTGAAAATTTCCATAAAAAATAATGAATACTTCTGTCCAGATTGAAAGATAGACAAGTCCAAAAATAATACATGGCGTGGTAAGAGTTAATAGCTCAGTCAAAAATTAACAAACTTTAAAGGGACTCCACTGAGGTTTAAAAGCCTAAAAACAACATTGAATTTCTTACATAAATGAGCTATGGCAGTTGACAGTTGAGAAATATACTTTGATATAAATTGCAAATCCTACTTTTATGCTTTTCTTAGCCCAATTTGAGTGAAAAGCATTTAAACGTTTTTCATTTTGGGTCATTTTTTTCACAATTTGAATAATTATTCTGGAAAAACGAAGTGCCAATGATCAGAAATTTTGCACAAAGATTTAAAGTGGTCTAAACCTACATCAAATGGTGCATTTATCTGGAAAAAATATTTTCAGTCCCATCATGTCAAAAAACCTCAGTGGAGTCCCTTTAAAATGTATACCCAGAAAAATGTAACTTACTTTGTAGGGAAATATTGTTTACTCTGTTTGAGAAAAGTGATGCTGTCATTGGTTATAAGGTCTGGAAAATAATCCCGGTAATAATTATCATCATGTTTCACTTTCTGCCCATTGAAATTCAGGGTGTAGTTGTAGAACTGCGAGTTTTTACATAACCCCACCCACTCTCTCCAACCTGGTGGAATGTAAGTGCCGTTATATTCATTGAGGTACTTCCCAAAATATCCTGAAAGAAAATTTGATACATCAATAATAATTATATGTCTTCAAAAACCGGTTAGAAAATTAATAAGACCAACTCCAAATCTCTAGTGTGCTTCCAACAGCTGATTGTACCAAACAGACCAATGAAAACCAAGATCATCACCCTACCCCATCCTCTATTCAATGATACTCTATAAATATCTAGCAAAAGGGTGAGCCTTTGAAGGCCATGAAAACAACATTACTATATGAATATTGCAGACTCTGTTTGATTGGTTCTGTTCATGAGAGATCATGTTTAGGCGGATCATCTCTTACGCCCCCTAGTACAGACTCAAGTGTTATTCAACGCCCCTAGGTGGATCATCTCTTACGCCCCCTAGTATGGGCTCAATTGTTATTCAACGCCCCTAGGTGAATCATCTCTTATGGCCCCTAGTACCGACTCAAGTGTTATTCAACGCCCCTAGCACCGGCTTAAGCGTATTTAATCTTCCAAACTAACTTCCTGGAATCAATCAAGTTACAACTCTATATGACCTTATATATATCTGATGCATAAATGACAAGGTACCCAATAATTAATTTAAAAAAAAAGTAAATACAAAGCTTTTACCCGTTCTGTAACCGGCATCACTGAGATACTTTGCGAACGTCCTTGGTTCATGTACTTTCTGCCACTCTATACCAGAACAATTATCATTATTTGTATATACATGATGATTGTGTGGGTATAGACCTGAAAATGTATAAAACATCATCATTAATTAATTAATCAATTAATTAATCAATTATCTATTCAATTAATACCTCTTGTTTTCTAAACAAACAAACAAACTCAAATTAAGTCCTTTCAAAGGCATGGTCAACTTTGTCCTCAGGACAAAAAATTCAACCATCTGTGACTGTATCACATCAGATAGATACCTGACTGCAAAGCCATGTGGCTTATCAGTAAAGAGTTTAAAAAAAAAATTCTAAGAAAATCTATTCAAAACCAAATGGTGCCTTTAATAGTCACACCAGGACCAAACATGGATCAGAGGTTTACTTAAGTTTATTTTACATTTTGACATCACATCTAAAGTTAATAAATATCTTAAATAATCAAAAAATAATATCAAAGAACTTTGTAGATGGATATTGAAACAAAACAAGAAATGCTCTTTTAGTACTCCCCCCCCCCCCCCTGCACTACATTTCCCCCCCCCCCCTGCACATGCAATTAAGATAAGACTGCAACAATTATGTGCACCAAGTGCAAACTTCTTCCTTTTTTTGTGTGATGTAAATAACATATGTAAAACACTGTGAACTTTCCCTCCGACTTAAATAGCCATAAAATCAAGTGTGAAAGTGGCATTAAAGGAAGCTGTAAAAATTGCAAAATTACCCCATTCAAAGTACAGTTTTGTATATATACGCTTTTGTAGGTTTAATGTACGCTCTCTTTTTAATGCCGTTTACGATGCAATAACAAATTTCTTCTCAGTCTATTAACATCAATGATTTTCCAGTTTGATTTTACAAGATCATTAAATGTAATGCATAATAAAAGGTAAATATGTCTATTTTATCCACACTAAAATACAGGACTTGTTAAAGTATAGAGAGAATTGGGAAAGGGGGGGGGGGGGCATGGGGATTGGTCGGTGATGAATCAAGAATATATCTGTTCACAACTTTCATTGGCAATATATACAAATACACAAGAAAAACTTTGTTTGAATCAGTGTTTCAAAAGGTTATGCAATCTTTTATAAAATATTACAAAAACCTTTACAAATGAAAAACTTACAAAACCTTCGAAAGAAGGAAAAAACACAACAAAAAAAACAAAGACCACACATGAAAGACAAAAAAAAAATTCTTTCATAGCTTGTTTCTCATACAAACAAAATCTTATATGTTTAATTCCATTTACTTCAATAAAACAACCAAACATTACCTCTTTTCTTAGTAAGATAAAAGTAATTTTACCTCATTACGTATAATGAAATATCTAATTTGTAAATGGCAAGGCTCCAGTAGGTATTAGGTTACTATAGATACATTCATTTAAATAAATTAGTTTATACGGATGTACTTTAGTTCGATTGTGTTGTAAACAAATTTATTTTAGTTTGTGTTGAAAGCAAAATATAAGCCTATTGAAACACTCTCGAATCTATTCCTGAAACTAACCAGTCACTGTACTTAGAAATGTGTGTAAAAAAAAAATTCCCCAAAAAACAATGGCTTGCCACTGACAGGGTTTGAACCCATGTGGTTAACAATCCATATATATTACTAGTCCAAAGCGTTAACCACTCGGCCACGCCGCCACACTTAAATATATTATATACTGTATTTTGAAATATTTTGAAATAGAGAAAATAAAAAAAAGAATATTCAACATATTATAAGGTTATAAATAGCATGTTTTAGTAAAAGATAATACCATCAAATTAAAGAAAAAAATATAAAGTGACCATATATACTCAAGCCTTTTTTAACCTTTCTTCAGCTGGCACCAAAATTCTACTAATGTTGGCTATTAAATCAGTACATTATTTTGAAATTTTCCCTAAAATGATAAGTGGAATTGTCCACATTGAAAGATGGACCAGTCCAATAAATATATTTAGGGATGTTAGAAGGGTAAGACATTTGTTGCTACATGAGCTTTAAAACAACATGTAGTATAGAAGTGGGTATACTTAAAACATAATAACAAACATTCTACACACATTTTGATGACATCATAAGCGTGATTATTATTTATGATTTATTAATTGTGAATATGATTTATGATTTATTTACGGAGAATAATGATATCTCATCTCATGATCTGTGTATTCTGGACCATTAGGAAACTTTTTGTAAATGTTATATACATTCAATGATAACATTTTAACTACAAATTTGATAAAATGTTAAACAAGTTCAATCCGCAAAGTTCAGGCTATATCATTATTGTTTTTGTTGAGATAAACAAAGTATCAACACTCAGGGATGGTCTTTTTGTTACAAATTTTGTGGTATTTGATGTGACAATAGTTTGTCTGTACTTAATAAACTTGTCTGATTACTTTGACACTTTGATACTTGGCTCCGTAGGCTGGACCACTGCTTACAACTGATTTATACAAATTTAGCATACGTCTGATGTAAAGTTACCTACCACCAATGTAATGTTCAAAAATCTTCATACTTGTTTTTCTTTATTCTTTTTTTACTCTGATTTTCAAACACACTTTATGTACAAAAAATAGTATTAATTATTTTCTGTTCCAGTCCATCACAAAATTACTGCAAGCAATTAAATTATCATTTAGTATAGAGCCCACCTAACCGGAGGTCTCCACTGGACAAGGCGAAGCCAAATTATTATTATTATTATTGTTGCTGGTACAAGGTCAATAAACTCATTTTGATTTCCCATAAGTTCATACAGCATCAATTATGTATTTATATATGATATGCTTTAAATACCGTAACCTTTTCAAAATTTAACCTTTAGATGGTTTTGATTGTTTATTTACCTGCTTGAGCCTTTAAACAAAAAGTATAAAGCCAGGCTAATCTTTGCAGACAAAAGCAAGTCTGCATAGCTCAATCGGTAAGTGCGCGAGACTTGTTATCTCGACACTGTGGGTTCGATTCCCAAGCTTGCCAACTAAAAATTACTAATCAGTATTTTGGGCAACACATTAAATTTGGGGTCCCGTGTATGAATGCTTAAACACCTGGCACGCTAATTTATTTTTAAAGAACCAAGAGTAGCTTCTGAAAATGAGACATCTTTCTATATCTGTATCTAGCACTATCCTCCAAAATCTAAAATGACTAGGTCTCACCCAAATGCTTTTATTTCTCAATAGCTTTTTTAATTTTGGTGTACTTTTATAGTATCAAACCTCATATTTACTAAACTATAATCTCCATTGTTCTTTTAATGATATTTTCATTTAAAGGAGCTCAACTAGGGTCAAAACCTAAAAAGATAAAATTTGAATTTTTTTTATACATAGATCGAGTTAAGCACTTGAAATAGAAAAATCTACAAAGGATAAAAAAGAAATATACTCAGAATAAAACTGAAAAACGATAGTTAGTGCAATAACGCTTTTTGTTTTGGGGTCATTTTTCACAATAAAAATTATTACTCTGGAAGGGAAGGATTTGAAAGTTTACATAGAGGATATTTGTTTAGTTCAGTGTAAGATCGGAATATATTTCACCGAGTGAGCACCAAAAGGTATATTTCACAAGTGGCGCAGCCACGAGTGAAATATGAACTTTTGGTGTTCACAAGGTGAAATATATTTCGATCTTACACTAAACTAAACAAATTTTCTTTTTATTATAATTATGCAAAGAAACGTTTTAAAAAGACATTAAACCTAATACTGAATGAAAAGCGCGCCAAATAATAATACAACATGACGTCATTTACGACGTCACGTCATTAAGTTGGTACCCAGTTCTGTGCACACTGGTATTTCACTGAAACAACGTAAGGGGCTTAAATTCAAAACAGTGAAATTATCAAAGTGGTAATTTCACTGTTTCAAACATAGAAATTACCAGTTTTTATATCACTGATATATTTCTATAAACCACCGAAAAGCATGTAATAAAAACAAGTTATTGGTTCTGACCTGCATCAAATGGTAAACAAATTTTTGAAAAATATTTCCAGTCCCATCATATCAAAAAACCTCAGTTGAGTCCCTTTAAAATAAGCCATAAAGATAGCTTACCTGGCTTCAAGGCAACACTAACCTAACTAAGTCTTTTAATTTCATGGAGTTAAGACAGTATGGCTACAACACTGAGAAATTACAGAACCGCCTTTGATATTTCAGCAGCAAAATAGCAAATGACATTTCATGTTTTCTCTATCCCTCAGTAGTCTCAATTATACCTTAATTTGCAACATTTATTCTACTTATATTCCATTGATCAAGTTATTTAAATGATGGCAAATAGTGGTATAATTTGTGTATATTAGCAGAATTTAGTGCAAAATAATATCTATATGTGTATACACTCGTATGTTTGTTTGTTTGTTTCATTTTACGCCTTTTCCCAACAGTATTTCAGTCATATAGGCGGGTAGTTTCCTAACCAGCGTTCCTGGTCAGTTACACCAGTACTAGACTACCTTCCTTCGTGCTTAACTACCAAAGCATCTCCCGGGGATCAAACCCACGCCAGAGAGGTAACTGGATTAGAAGTCATCGACTCTAACCCCTTGACCACGGAGGCGTTCCAATCGTATGTGATTTCTCCATGGAGAAATTTCAGCAAGAAGACATAGAAGTTGAGGATGTTTTAGACAGAAGACTTAGAGATTGGGTTTTTATTTAGTAGATTTTTCTCAGCACTTTTCTACCAGTGAAAACTTGAACTAAACCTGTCCGCGACAGAAAAACAAGAAGAGATCCCCCCCCCCCCCCCAAAAAAAAAGACATACAGTAATTCTAAGTTTCTATGGAAATAATTGAAATTGTGTTAAATTTACTAATAGAGACTTCTCATGTAATTTAAAGGCCCCTTATGCCTAAGGAATGTTTTTAGTCCCCTACCGGTTTACCGGAGGGGACTTTAGGTTTACCCTCCGTCCGTCTGTCCGTCCGTCAGTCTGTCTGTCCGTCAGTCCACAAAACTGGATCCCGCGATAACGCAAAAAGTACTGAAAATATTTTAATGAAACTTGATATATGGATAGATAGCAGTATGGAGATTATGCACGTCTTTTTTTTTTCTTCCTATGATGAAAATTCTGGTTGCTATGGCAACAAATAGACTGAAAATATGACAAATTTTACACATAAACTGGATCCAGCGATAACGCAAAAAGTACTGAAAATATTTTTATGAAACTTGATATATGGATAGATGGCAGTATGGAGATTATGCACGTCTTTTTCTTTTCTTCCTATGTTGAAAATTCTGGTTGCTATGGCAACAAATAGACTGAAAATATGGCAAATTTTACACATAACCTGGATCCAGTGATAACACAAAAAGTACTGAAAATATGTTTATGAAACTTGACATATGTGTAGATGGCAGTATGGAAATTATGCACATCCTTTTCTTATCTTCCTATGTTGAAAATTCTGGTTGCTATGGCAACAAATAGACTGAATTTCAAGATTTCTTATTCTAGTTTTTAAGTTTTTTCACTATAAGTTCTTTATTTCTTAAGGTATTTTCTTCAAACTTTAAATATAAGTTGCTTGTCATCAACCATATCATATTTGGCAAGGTTTACAACTCTAGTACAAAATTTATCAGAATTGACTCCCTTGAACTTAAAATTTTCATGAAAAAAACATTGTTTTTTTTTTAATAACTTCTTTTTCTGAATGTATCTACTTCAAACTTCATATAAATGTTTCTTATTGTCACTCAACATTTGCGAGTGTTCAATACTCTAGCAAGACTATTTCCAGAATTATGCCCCTTTTGAACTTAGACTTTTTTTTGAGAAATTCTTCAATCATGATAGGATTTTAACAAGAAACATGGCAATGCCATGAAACCAGGTTTTCAATTATCACCATTGTAGATAAATATGTTGTATTTGAAATACAAATACAAGCAACAAACAATGTAACTATGTGCAATGTAAAACATGAATAATGTAGGAGGAATTGCCACTGAAGAAGTGTTCACTATAATATTATGTCTAAGGAAAAAAACAAAGGGCCATAATTAGGTCAAAAACTATCCAATCACAAAACCCCGACAATATGTGCCAGGGTGCTTGATGACAAAGCTTCTGTGAAAGTTTGAACAAAATCCGTTGAGAAATGTAGGACGAGTTCAGCACAGAAGAATTTGTTCACTATAATTATATTGATAATTCTGTATAATGAAAAACAAGTTACAAAGTAGACATGAAATAATATATCATATCTTTTTTAAATTACCTCCAAAGATGATATGACCTTTGACTGCCAAATCAAGTTAAAATCATGTAAACAGGATTTTCAATGTTAATGTCACTGTGACCTTGACCTTGGAGCCAGCCATGCGGAACATGCGTTCTGCACGTCATCTTGATGTGGTAAACATTTGTCTGAAGTTTCATCAAAATTCTTCAAATGGTTGAAGAGTTACAGAGCGGACAGGATTTTCAATGTTAATGTCACTGTGACCTTGACCTTGGAGCCAGCCATGCGGAACATGCGTTCTGCACGTCATCTTGATGTGGTAAACATTTGTCTGAAGTTTCATCAAAATTCTTCAAAGGTTGAAGAGTTACAGAGCGGACAGGATTTTCAATGTTAATGTCACTGTGACCTTGACCTTGGAGCCAGCCATGCGGAACATGCGTTCTGCACGTCATCTTGATGTGTTAAACATTTGTCTGAAGTTTCATCAAAATTCTTCAAAGGGTTGAAGAGTTACAGAGCGGACAGGATTTTCAATGTTAATGTCACTGTGACCTTGACCTTGGAGCCAGCCATGCGGAACATGCGTTCTGCACGTCATCTTGATGTGGTAAACATTTGTCTGAAGTTTCATCAAAATTCTTCAAAGGGTTGAAGAGTTACAGAGCGGACAGGATTTTCAATGTTAATGTCACTGTGACCTTGACCTTGGAGCCAGCCATGCGGAACATGCGTTCTGCACGTCATCTTGATGTGGTAAACATTTGTCTGAAGTTTCATCAAAATTCTTCAAAGGGTTGAAGAGTTACAGAGCGAACAGGATTTTCAATGTTAATGTCACTGTGACCTTGACCTTGGAGCCAGCCATGCGGAACATGCGTTCTGCACGTCATCTTGATGTGGTAAACATTTGTCTGAAGTTTCATCAAAGTTCTTCAAAGGGTTGAAGAGTTACAGAGCGGACAGGATTTTCAATGTTAATGTCACTGTGACCTTGACCTTGGAGCCAGCCATGCGGAACATGCGTTCTGCACGTCATCTTGATGTGGTAAACATTTGTCTGAAGTTTCATCAAAATTCTTCAAAGGGTTGAAGAGTTACAGAGCGGACACAATTTCGTTTGACGCCCGCCCATCCGCCCATCCGCCCAGCCGCCCATCCGCCCATCCGCCCATCCGCCCGCCATACCCCAATCTAATAACCAGGATTTTCAAAATTGAAAACCTGGTTAAAAATGTTATATTTTGATAACAGGGATGTTTAAAAAGTAACTTTAGAGTGTCCTTCAGTCCGTCTGTCTGTACATAAAAACTGTTTCCTGTGATCACTTTTAAAGAACTTTTTCAACAAATTTACTTAAAATAGGAACCTAAGTGAATGGCCCTTCAGAATGTTGCTTGGGCTCTTACCGGTAGGGGACTTATGGATTGCTTGCAATACTATGATAATTGCTTGTTATTTTTATTTCTCCAAAGGTTTTTATTTTTTGTGTACTTTAACAATTTCCATAATGTTACTCATTGGCCATTTACTGGTACCATCTTTTCCATCTGTTGCTTTTTGGCAATTAGTACAGTTAAAGTGAAATAGTATTTTGAGTTTCATACAGTATTTTCTATGAAATTCAAAATACTACTTTGTTTACGTTTCACTACTTTATAAATGACAAAAGATTTCACAATTATTGATAGTTTCTTTAAGTAACAATATGCTAACATGCTCTAAAACCATTATTTAAACATTTTAAAATTCATGTTTGTCCTTTCTGAAGAAGTAAATATTTATTCATTTCTGAGGGATATTGTACCTTTAAGGTAAAATAAAATTTATATCAATCAAATATTTTGGCTGGTATCTTGAGGCATGCAGCTTTAAATAACATTTAAACTTGCAATCCTCCTGTGAAAATCCAGTACAGGGGTATTTTCTATAAAAAAATAATTATATAACTACGTAATTCCCAATTCCCAGTAATTCAGACTTAACTCTGGAATTCCTGTACTTCTGCTATCTCCATTATTTCCTAAATCATTTGTATGTAATCAAGTGCAATAAAAGTAGGAGAATTGAGCCGTGTCACGACAAAACCAACATAATGGGTTTGCGACCAGCATGGATCCAGACCAGCCTGCACATTCGCGCAGTCTGATCAGGATCCATGCTGTTCGCTTTCCAACCCTATTACAAGAACAGAAACTTATAGCTAACAGCATGGATCCTGATCAGACTGCGTGAATGCGCAGGCTGGTCTGGATCCATGCTGGTCGCAAACCCACTATGTTGGTTTTGTCGTGACACGGCTCATAATGGGGTTTTTTATCATTAATTCTGACGAAATATTTTCAACTATACAGTCTACTACGGCTGCACTCTGTGTTATATCAATATTTTCCCCAAACAGCTCATTAAACCCTGTCTATTCTTAATGAAAAAGCCTAACAGGCTTATCAGTTCATTTCATAATTGCACTGAGATTTCATCAACTAGAATTATGGAATGATGAAACATTTATGATAATTTTCCATTTTTTGGTTGATTTTTTTCTAAGTGATTTTTAAGTCATGTTACAGGTTTTAGTGACTAATATCAAACATAGACAGAAAGATTGTTAATTTCCCCACAAGAAAATTTGTTATTTCTGGCAAAAATGCAATTTTCCAACACAGTCATTTCATCACTTGCTCATCATACCAAAGAACAAACCACTATTAGAGAGAATTCGAGTTATCAAGTAGACTTATTGCTTTAATTATAGATAATTATACTATGCTTAAATTTAATATTTGAAAATATTGATAATTGCTAAACAGTCTCTTTGAAATTACAATACATGTATACTTCACACAAAGTACTGTAGATGTTATGTTTTAAACTCAACACGCTATAATAGGAGGACACAATATGAATACTCCTATAAATTATAGTGGACCAACTTTTCATGGCCCATTGATGGGGAATGCAGCTTGCCACTCATTTCACTCAAATTGCATTAGTAGACTTAAACACAAAACTAATTAAAGGGCCACAACTCTTGACAACTCATTGAACTGGTAAATGCCAATGAAATGCACTACTAGCCTTGGTAAAGATCATTCCTGTTAAGTTTGGATGAAACTGCACCAGAAGTTTTTGAGGAGAAGACCGGACAAGTTTTGTGGCATACATATAGACGGACGGACAGACAGACAGACAGACAGCAGAGAAGTGATCTCTGTAGCAGGCAACACAATAAATTTTATTAAGAGTGGATGTGAATGGTTAAGGAGGTTTCAATTTAATCCTGTAACAACATGTATATCTCTTTAAACTGTACATCTATGTTTGCCTAATAAAAAAAACAACAATTTATTAAAGATTATAATCACAGAAGCACTCCTCTGTTATACAAGTTTTAAGTACAGTTGATGTTTAATTCTTAAGTACAAATTTTTCTCTTACCTGTTAAAAGGGTGCTACGTGAGGGACAACACATGGGTGTGGATACAAAGGAGTTGTTAAATCTTACACCTTCATTGCCCATAATCTTTAACATCTTTGTCATTGTGGTTACAGAACCTGTAATTTACAATAATACAAACCTGTTATTTACAATAATGCATTACAGAACCTGTTATTTACATTAATACTGTAGAGAACCTGAAATTCACAATAATACAATATAGAACCTGTTGTTTACAATAATGCTGCATGCATTACAGAACCTGTTATTTACATTAATACTGTAGAGAACCTGAAATTCACAATAATACAATATAGAACCTGTTGTTTACAATAATGCTGCATGCATTACAGAACCTGTTATTTACATTAATACTGTAGAGAACCTGTAATTTACATTATTACTATAGGGAATCTGTAATTAACAATAATGCAATATAGAACCTGTAATTTACAATAATACTGTAGAGAACCTGTAATTTACAATAATGCAATACAGAACCATTATTTCATATACAGGGGGCCTGGCACAGCTTAGGGGTTTAGGTACTTAACTTTAAATCACTTGTCCCTGAGCATTGTAAATTTGAACCTTGTCAGGGCATCCTTTTATGTGAGAAAGCTGTAAAGATAACTTAATATAGAAGGTAAATGATGGTTCTACACAGGTACGTGTTTGTGTCTGAAATACTGCACAAAGGGCCGGGTACCTAAAGTCTTCCTCCATTGGTAAAGCTTGAACATCACTGTATGACCTTTTAGGGTCAGAGTGACTTCTGTTACTATTTGATTCACATAAAAATGACATTTAATAATGCCCATATACATGTAAATGGTGAGTGCCCATGTTTAAGTCAAGAAAACTGTAAAAAAATTTACTTTTTTTTTTACAATTTTGTACTCTACTCTGCAAAATAATCAATAATAACCCATGCCATTTCTTTAAAAAATTTATCAGTTTAGACTGCCCATACTTATTTGTCGAAAAAAAAAAGATTAGAGTCAGAGCGAAAATACAAATAAGAAAGCACTTAATTTAAAGCACGGAAAGATGGGATTTTGTATTTGGGAGATTATTCATTTATAACACAGGATTATTCTCTTTAGACAAAGAACTAAAAAATAAAACAAATAAATATTGGCCGATTTATATGTAAAGTCTTATCCATTTGTAATTTTCATTGAAAAGTGCTCTTTTCAGAGCAAAAGTTTAACTGTAAGGAAAATACAAGTAGTATGTTACATTTGAAACATGACCCTTTTAACTTAATTTGAAAATAATGTAAACTGATGGCGTAGAAACTTCTGTTTTTCATCAGCATGTTTTAACAATTTCATTATGGTCAGTAAGTTTGTTAAACAAGGATAAATTTCAATTTAAAATGTATTATTCTCTCCGACAACTTGACAGTTTGTTCACTTCCATTAAAATTGTAAAATGGGTTAATACATAATATAGGGCAGTACACTTTTTATTTAATAACCTACTTTAGGTTTATATGGCATGATGAAATGCAACGAATATCTTGGCTATTATCAAAAGTAACGTTTGACCGAAAGGGCCGAGAAGATGAGATTGATTGGTGAAATAGTCATTGTCATCTAGTTTATATATATATATATATATATATATATATATATATATATATATATATATATATATATATATATATATATATATATATATATATATATATATAATAATTTAAAAAATAACTTAAAAATAACTTAAATATATAAGGGCAATTAGCACGAAGAAAAAGCAACAGCTGCTGTGGTGTAGTGGTTTGCATACCGGACCAGCAATCCAGAGATCCATGGTCCAAGTCCCGGCTGCTGCGTGCCAATTTTTCGTGCGATTTTTTTATTATACATATTTACATTGTTAAAAGATCTCCACTGACTTGACAAGACTGCTGATATCTTTTTCGAGATTTTTTCACAATCTGAAAAAAATACATTAAAAAAAATCTGCTTCCTTTACGCCTGTGACCTTTATCTTAAAGGTCAAGAATAGTATCATGTTTAAGTTTAAGGTCAAAGTCATAATAGTTACCTACCTAATAACTCATCTTGATCGTCGGTTATAATTAGAATTATATTCGGCTTTTCACTATGTGATCTTCTATTCTTGTCCTCTCTCATTGGTCCGTAATATTGACGTCTATCCGAGTTATACGTGTTCCGCGACGAATCATCGTAATATCTCCCATTGTACGTTCTCGTTGACACTAAGGTCAAGGTCATATAAAATATGAAACACAGTCCAAATATGGTCATTCTATAAGTTAACATGGTGGATGCCATGGTTACAGTTATCTTATACTTTGTATAACTAAAATATCACAAATATCACAGAATAGTTTGTCTTTGGAATTTCTTTGGATTTCTTTTATCTGAAAACAGAAAAGAAAAGTTAGTCATAATTACTAGGTACAAAATAACTATTTGTGTTACTGTAACTTGATTGGCATTAATTAATAATAATGAGTATATTTTTTTTGCAATTAATGTTCCATTTAATTACCCCAGCTGATCCATGTAAGAAATTCAAATTTTATTTTTTAAGAATTTATGACCTCTGTGGAGTTTTTTTAAAAAGTGCAATACATCTTTTATTCCACAACAGTTTACCATTACACTTTATACACAAATTATGTCTTCTTTTACATGTTATACACAAATTATGTCTTTTTTTACACATGTTATACACAAATTATATCTTCTTTTACACATTTATACACAAATTATGTCTTCTTTTACACATTTATACACAAATTATGTCCTTTTTTTACACATTTATACACAAAATTATGTCTTCTTTTACATGTTATACACAAATTATGTCCTTTTTTTACACATGTTATACACAAATTATATCTTCTTTTAAACCTTTATACACAAATTATGTCTTCTTTTACACATTTATACACAAATTATGTCCTCTTTATTTTTTACACATTTATACACAAAATTATGTCTTCTTTTACATGTTATACACAAATTATGTCTTTTTTACATGTTATACACAAATTATATCTTCTTTTAAACATTTATACACAAATTATGTCTTCTTTTACACATTTATTCACAAATTATGTCTTCTTTTATATTTTAAGGCTCTTGGACCTCAGTGGAGTTCCTTTAAAAAGTGCAATAAATCTTTTATTCCACAACAGTTTTCCATTACACTTTATACACAAATTATGTCTTCTTTTACATATTTATACACAAATTATGTCTTCTTTTACATGTTATACACAAATTATGTCTTCTTTTACACATGTTATACACAAATTATATCTTCTTTATACATTTATACATAAATTATATCTTCTTTATACATTTATTCATAAATTATGTCTTCTTTTACACATTTATACACAAATTATGTCTTCTTTTACACATTTATACATAAATTATGCCTCTTTTACACATTAAATTTTATTCACAAATGATGTCTTCTTTTACATGCTATACACAAATTAGGTCTTATTTTACATGTTATACACAAATTATGTCCTCTTTTACATGTTGTACACAAATTATATCTTCTTTTACACATTTCTCTATCTTCTAATTATCCTACCTTTTAAAAGGTCCCCTTAACATACATTTCTGTCTTTTACAGATATTCTGTAAAAGATGTGCATTTTAATGGCTAATATATCAAACTCCTAATTTCAAAGATGCAATAAATTTTTAATTATAAAACAATTTTCCAGGACATTTTATTGAGAAATAAAGTATTCTTTAACACATTTCTTAATGTTCTACTTATTCTGCCATTCTGTTGTTGTTTTTTTTTTAGAGGTATCTAAATTCGTGTCTTAAGTAAATTACAGAAATTCTGCTGTTACAATTTGTAAAAGTTGTGTATATATCGAAGGTTTATCGCAAAACTGTTGTAAGTCCTTCTATATTTCATATAAGTTACTGCAGTTTTGCTATCAACCCTTGTATTTACTGTAATTATAAGAATAACTTATTTCTCACAATTCTTTATTTTTATTGTAATAAATGTAAGAATATAAGTTAATATTTCCCAATACAAATGTACTGAAAATCATATTTCATCAGTATCTTGCATTATTGGCAGTGGTTTATAATGCTTAAACCTCAGGCAATCCTTCCTATAAATCCATCTCAGAAATTGTATTCTGATGGTAATAGAACTGCTGGGGGGAATTCTTGGGAATTAAATCTATGATGGTTTATTACAGAAACATGGTGTTTTACAGTTTCAACATGGCAATAAACCTGTTCACCAGAAACATCCATACCTGCCAGTCAAAATGAACAAAACAATCCTGAACAAGAGAATTTCAACAGGTCAGATTTCATCTACAACCAATCTTCAAAATGAGTATATTCTCAACCACAATATCCTAAGCAAGAGCTAGAGAATGCTCAACAAGAGGATCTCAATATGTCAAATTGTACAGATAATCTTCAATGACAGAATCTTATATAGGTGTATCCATAAGAAGTAAATTCAATTCAACACAGGTGTGTCTTCAACCAGTACATCCTACAAAGGTGTATCCTCAACAAGCGAATCATAAACAGGAAGGAGTATCCTCAACAAGTAATTCCTCAACAAGAATATCCTCAAAGAGAATCCTACACAGGAGTGTCCTAAACAAGTGAATCCTACACAAAAGTATCGTCAACAATTAAATCCTACACAGGAGTATCATCAACAAGAGAATACTACACATGAGTATCCTCAACAATTAAATCCTACACAGGAGTATCCTCAACAAGAGAATCCTACACATGAGTATCCTCAACAAATGAATCCTACACAGGAGTATCCTCAACAAGTGAATCCTACACATGAGTATCCTAAACAAGTGAATCCTACACAGGAGTATCCTCAACAAGTGAATCCTACACATGAGTATCCTAAACAAGTGAAATCCTAACACAGGAGTACCTCAACAGGAATCCTACACAATGAGTATCCTAAACAGTGAATCCTACAACAGGAGTATCCTCACAAAGAATCTACACATGAGTATCCTAAAACAAGTGAATCCTACACACAGGAGTATCCTCAACAAGTGAATCCTACACATCAGTATCCGCAACAAGTGAATCTACACAGGAGTATCCTAAACAAGTGAATCCTACACAGGAGTATCCTCAACAAGTGAATCCTACACATCAGTATCCTCAACAAGTGAAATCCTAGACAGGAGTATCCTCAAGCAAGAGAATACTACACAGGAAGTATCCTCAACAAGTGAATCCTACCACAGGATACCTCAACAAGAGAATCCTAACACATGAAGTATCTAAAACAAGTGATATCCTACACAGGAGTATCCTCAACAAGATGAATCCTACACATCAGTATCCTCAACAAGTGAATCCTACACAGGAGTATCCTTAAACAAGTGAATCCTACACAGGAGTAATCCTACAACAACCGTGAATCCTGACACATAGTATCCTCAACAAGTGAATCCTACACAGGAAGTATCCCTCAACAAGAGAATCCTACACATGAGTATCCTAAACAAGTGAATCCCTACCAGGTAGTATCCTCAACAAGTGAATCCTACATCATCGAGTAATCCCTCAACAAGTGAATCCTACACAGGAGTATCCTCAACAAGAGAATCCTACACATGAGTATCCAACAAATGTGAATCCCTACACAGGAGTCAATCCTGCAACAAGTGAATCCTACACATCAGTATCCTCAACAAGTGAATCCTACATAGGAGTAATCTGCAAGAGAATCCTACACAGGAGTATCCTAAAAAGAGAATCCTACACAGGAGTATCCCTCAAGCAAGTGAATCCTACACATGAGTAATCCTCAATCAAGAGAATCCTACATAGGGAGTATCCTCAACACACGTGAATCCTAACACATGAGTATCCTAAACAGTGAATCCTACATAGGAGTATCCTCAACAAGTGAATCCTACACATTGAGTATCCTCAACAAGAGAATCCTACATAGGAGTATCCTCACAAGTGAATCCTACACAGGATTATCCTAAACAAGTGAATCCTACACAGGAGTTATCCTAAACAAGTGAATCCTACACATGAGTATCCTCAACAAGTGAATCCTACACATGAGTATCCTCAACAAGAGAATCCTACATAGGGGTATCCTCAACAATTAAATCCCACACAGGAGTATCCTCAGCAAGTGAATCCTACACATGAGTATCCTTAACAAGAGAATTCTACATAGGAGTATCCTCAACAAGAGAATCCCACACAGGAGTATCCTCAACAAGTGAATCCTACATAGGAGTATCCTCAACAATTAAATCCCACACAGGAGTATCCTCAACAAGTGAAACCTACACATGAGTATCATTAACAAGAGAATCCTACATAGGAGTATCCTCAACAAGTTTTCCCACACAGGAGTATCCTCAACAAGTGAATCCTACATAGGAGTATCCTCAACAAGAGAATCCTACACAGGAGTATCCTTAACAAGAGAATCCTACATAGGAGTATCCTCAACAATTAAATCCCACACAGGAGTATCCTCAACAAGTTAATCCTACACAGGAGTATCCTAAACAAGTGAAACCTACACAGGAATATTCTCAACAAGTTAATCCTACACAGGAGTATCCTCAACAAGTGAATTCTACACAGGAGTATCCTCAACAATTAAATCCTACACAGGAGTATCCTCAACAAGAGAATACTACACAGGAGTATCCTCAACAATTAAATCCTACACAGGAGTATCCTCAACAATTAAATCCTACACAGGATTATCCTCAACAAGTGAATCCTACACAGGAGTATCCTCAACAAGAGAATCCTACACAGGAGTATCCTTAACAAGAGAATCCTACACATGAGTATCCTCAACAAGAGAATCCTACATAGGGGTATCCTCAACAATTAAATCCCACACAGGAGTATCCTCAGCAAGTGAATCCTACACATGAGTATCCTTAACAATGAGAATTCTAACATATGGAGTATCCTCAACAAGAGAATCCCAACACAGGAGTATCCTCAACAAGTGAATCCTACATAGGAGTATCCTCAACAATTAAATCCACACAGGAGTATCCTCAACAAGTGAAACCTACACATGAGTAATCCTCAACAAATTAATCCTACATAGAAGTATCCTCAACAAGAGAATCCTACACAGGAGTATCCTCAACAAGAGAATCCTACACAGGATATCCTCAACAAATGAATCCTACATAGAAGTATCCTCAACAATTAAATCCCACACAGGAGTATCCTCCACAAGTTAATCCTACACAGGATATCCTAAAACAAGTGAAACCTACACAGGAATATTCTCAACAAGTTAATCCTACACAGGAGTATCCTCAACTAGTGAATTCTACACAGGAGTATCCTCAACAATTAAATCCTACACAGGAGGAGTATCCTCAACAAGAGAATACTACACAGGAGTATCCTCAACAATTAATCCTACACAGGAGTATCCTCAACAATTAAATCCTTACACAGGATTATCCTCAACAAGTGAATCCTACATAGGAGTATCCTCAACAAGAGAATCCTACACAGGAGTATCCTTAACAAGAGAATCCTACACATCAGTATCCTCAACAATTAAATCCCACACAGGAGTATCCTCAACAAGAGAATCCTACACAGGAGTATCCTCAACAATTAAATTGTACCCAGGAGTATCCTCAACAACAGATTCCTACACATGAGTATCCTCAACAAGTAAATCCTACACAAGAATATCCTAAACAAGTGTATCCTGAACAGGAATATCCTCAACAAGTTTATCCTACACAGGAATATCCTAAACAAGTTTATCCTACATAGGAATATCCTCAACAATTTATCCTACACAGGAGTATCCTCAACAATACTTAGTGAATCCTACACAGGAATATCCTCATCAGGTGAGTCTATACAGGAGTACTGTCAACAAGGGAATCATACACAGGACTTCGCTGAACAAAGAGAAGAGTATTTGCTGCACTTTTAAGGCACTTGGATCATTTCAGCACCCATATTCATAAACAAATTTTATTTAGAGCTTCACTTCAACAACATGCAATTAAACAAACAGCTTTTTGATCAGTCAAACAAACAGCTTTTTGATCAGTCATACAGCATAAAAATATACAAGATATTGTTGTCATTTTAAATGAACAGTTTCCCATTGTTTTGTTTTAGATTGCGAGTAAGAAGCTACTTATTGTTAATTAAAGGAAATTCAAATATCCCTATGTTTGTTAAAAGTGCCTTTGAAAGCCAAAGCTGGCTTATGGAAAGTGTCATAATTTGGGTATATATGGTAACACTGTTTGCTTGAATCATACATTATTTAGAAATAACAAATTGTGAAAAGAATGCTAAATTTGCAAACAAAATTGATCTTGTTTAAGTACTAAACGGAAACTGCCTCTGAACTTCAAAGTTTGTATTTTGTATGACAAAGAATAAATCAATTGTAGTAAATTGTTATTTAACACCAGGATAGGGGAGACAGCAACAGGAAGTGGGTTCTCTTTACCTTCCATGTTTCAGCTAACTGCAATTACAAATACAAAGGAATGCAGGCCATGTAAATTAGTCCATGTTAATTACATGAGCTGCATTAATCATCATTTTAAAGGAACTCCACTGAGGTTAAAAAGTGTAAAAACATGAAATTTAAAATTCCTACACTGATCAAGTATAGCACTTAAAACAAAAATCTGCAAATTATAATAAAGAAATATACTCAGAATTAAACTGAATATTGATCTTTGTGCAATTCTTAACCTGGTACAAGTAATTAGTTTGAGTTAATATTGCACACTAAAATGATTATTCTTGAAAAAAAGGATGAGGGAATGATTTAAAAATTTGCAGGCAAGTTGCTGGTCAAGACCTACATCAACTGGTACACAAATCTTTGAAAACTATTTTCAGTCCCATTTTGTCAAAAAACCTCAGTGGAGACGGACCTTTAACAGGCTCTATCAAAGGATAAAATGATTCGCCCTGCTCTAAATTTAGAATGGTTTGTCTTGTTTTGTTTTAATACTTACAGCTGACTGAATGGCTGAAACATTATTATATGTGTAATGTTAAATGGCCAGGTTCATTGCCTTTCCAGCACAATAAGTAAAATTGTGCTTTTGAGCAGCATGGCCAACAGTATAGAGTCACATCTGATTAATGGTTGGGTAAAATCTATGTCAAGCTAATGCTGTTTTTAAGTCATATGGAGACTGTGTGAAGGTTATTATATATTGAGACATTTTAGTTATAAAACAATATATTTTGGCTCATCTGGAGGCATGCAGCTTTAAGGGTGAAATTGAGCCAAGCATAATTATGCTGATACTATATTAATATATCATAATTTTAAGGCCCGAAAAAAATTACTCAAATGATTTAAGATGTGCATGTGTACACAAAAACATGACCCAGCTGTACTGCTATACAGGCTATATACTACTATACTACAGGGGAAATATGTATTACAATGTAACACATTTTCTAAAGGCCTCAACAGACGGTAGGATTTAGTTGTACAGCACTAATTAGAGATAAAATGTACAATTTTCAAAACAATACAACACTTGCATTCAGACGGTAATTCTACACTGTAGGAATCATTTGAGGTTTTCCCTAAAAAGGATCCCTTTACATTGATCCCTTTACATACTTTACTCACTAAAATACTTTTTTTCGCCATGAGTAATGATTGAAACACCTCCATTTAAAAAAAAATATATATATATTTTTTTTAATGTGAAGCCTGACCGAGACTCAAACCTGGGACCCCTCGGAATACCGTACTGCGGCTCTACTGACTAAAGCTATCTGGGCCGCCTACAAACTACCTCCATCCCATAATTCGTGTTATTAGAGAACAACTGAATACCGTGACATAATCATTTTCGGAAATAATTTGGGATTCGAACATAACACAACTTTGGGTCTCCTGAAGAGTTTTTCAACATCCATTTTTTACCCCATCTTACTTACTATGTTTACGTTTCAGCCCTAATTGTTCTGGATATTTCATTTATTACACACCCATTATCAGGAGATAATTTGCTTATCTGTTACTTGTTCATTGTGGGAGTCTGTAAAATCCCTACGACAAGATTTTCAAAATAGATAGAACATGTCCTATCCTTACATCTTGAACATAAGGTTTCCGAAATCAAGAAATAGTAGCCTTCACACATTAAGATTTGTCTGTACATCTTAGTTTTAATTGGTGTTGTACTTCAAAATCCTACCGTCTGTTGAGGCCTTAAGCTTCCCTACAATCTAATTGCTAACATGATCTGATTAAGTTGAACATCTCTGCCTTTGATCTATGTTGGAAATGTCTAACTTAATTTAAAACCTGATTGCCTGAGTAACTCACTCTAGACTAGAAGAGGGGGGGGGGCATGATTATAGCTGATGCATGTGTATGAAGGATGAGGGAAATAGGAGAATATATTGCAGTGTTTGAGATTTAACTTTTTTACGATTTTTACATGACATTTAAGACATTTTTAAAAAAACATTTGATTAAGAATTTTTTACATAAATTAAGACAAAAGGTTCTCAGTACTGATTCCTGTAAAAATTTTAAAAAACTTTAATAAAGGGAAAATGAGTTAAATTAATATATTACTGTATATTAATCAGATGATGTATTAGTATAAAAACTTTGTTGTCAACCAATCATTACAGAAAAAGTGATAAATTTGAAATGCCCATGTCATGAAAATTAAGGGGTTACCCCCCAAAACTGCATTTTAAACTTATATAAAATTTTAAAAAAGGTTTTTTCAACGTTTGGAAAATTACCTGAATTTTTTTGATTTCAAATTTTTAAATCTTTTTTAAAAACACAAAATAAAAACGATTTTTATCTAAAAACAATATAATTTTAACCTTTGAAAGCTTAACGTTTAAGTATAAAAGAAATCAATCCCGAACTTAATTTTAAAAAAAAAAACAAAATTTTGGCAAAAACCTTTCAAATAAATCAATAAAAATCATTGGGTTTAAATTCTTTTTCCAGAAAAATGCATAGAAACTGTTTTACAAAATTATTTTGATATACTTTTTAAATATTAATTTTTTTTTTGTATTTTCAAGCTAATAACTATGTTCATTGTCCGAATGACAAAAATATACTATTCTAAGTTAACCTCTCTGTATAAATATGCTCGAATGAAGATCATTTTTACAAATATAGAAAACTTTAAATTTAAAACTTCAGAATATAAAATTTATAGTGATGGTTTATTGAAGTTTTGTACTTGTAACCTGATAAAACCGTCTGATCTCACCTTTAATACAGCATTTTTATAAATATGTAAAAGATACACTGAAGATAAACTTTAACATACCGTACATCTCATAGTGGCTGTACCCAAAGGTGATATAATTGGTGTCTGTTACAAGTACTGATATATTTTTTAATGGTGTCTGTACTACTGATATGTTATGTCTGTACTACTGATATATAGTGTCTGTAACCAATACTGATATATGTTGTACATACCCAATATAGTGCTTGTAACTAATACTGATATATTTTATATGTACCAAATACTGATATATGACACCTGATATATCCAACACAAATATATGGTGTCCGTACCTAATACTGATATATGACATCTTTACGCAACACTGAAAAATGGCATTTTTTACCTAAAACTGATATAAAGTGTCTGTACCCAATACTGAAATATATTATATATGTACCATAAATACTGATATATTAGGATGTATTTCCCCAATAGTGATATATAGTGTGAGTGTCAAATACTGATATATAACATCAAAACCTGATACTGATATATATATATATAGCATCTGTATCAAATGTCACAACATCAGCTATGCAATGTATGATTCATTATTAGTATGGAAAAAATTATCTGGATGTATATATGCATATATTAATCTTCAGTTAAAATATAAGATAAATCATGAATGTAGTATAAGTACTTCCTTATCAGTATCATAATGCTACAGAACCTAATATTATAATTTGTTGGATGTTTGTGGGAAAAATTTTGCGGGTACTTTATCGATAAATTTACGGTACCTTAAAAGTGCAAAGATATCAAAAAAATATTTAGGTTTTGTTTTTTTTTTGTAAAAAATACATTAAATGCAACATTAATGCACACAAGGACTTCTGATTTTGTACGAGTACCTTTATAGGGGCTGTACTGGGTACTTCAAGAAAATTAAATCCTTTGAGGGGGTGTTTTTTGACAGATTTACGGTACCTTTTTTTTTTTTGTAAAAAATACATTAAATGCAACATTAATGCACACAAGGACTTCTGATTTTGTACGAGTACCTTTACAGGGGGCCGTAGGGTACTTTAAGAAAATTAAATACTTTGAGGGGGTGTTTTTTGACAGATTTACGGTACCCACAAAGTGTCATGCTACTAACACTTGACCCCTGTAAAACATTAAAAATGCAACTGCACACATGACTCATGTCTCCCCTATCATGATAATGTATCATTATAACAAACTGCTGGATCATGCAGTTTACCAGTGCATACCGTTTGTTTTTTTACGTTCATAATTTATGTTGCTTTATTCAGTTTTAAATCCCATTTAGATTCCAGCAATTTATAGCCCATGATAAGCCTACCTCCATTATCATATAAATTATGTAAGTTGTTTCCATTTTTTTTTTCTAAACAATTATTTTTGTTAACATTAATTCAGTCAAGCTTTTGAAAAACTGGTAAGATTTTCTTTCGTTATCTCAACATCAGCTCAACGAGATAGGTGGACTACTTGTGGGACTCCCGGCCTACCAGACTAGGAACTTGAGACACCAGC